GTGTGGTCCGATTGACCCCATTTTCGAACTCGACCGAGAACTAAAAATTAGAAACATAATGTCGAAAACGGGGTTTGATTATGTCGACTCGTTCTGGAGATATCCTGCTTACAGACAGACCGACGGACAGACAAAACGATCACAATAAGTAGCTCACGCTAGGGTTGCCGCGGGTAGCGAAAATGCTACCCGTTACCCGACCCGCTACCCGCAGCACAACTACCCGTACCCGCACGGGTACCCGTGCGGGTACCCGTTGCCCGCTACCCGTTATGAGAATTGGGTTAAAAACTAACCAAGCATGAGAATAAGTTTGATTTGATCAATTATTTTTTCATTTGGGTTGATATGTATTTTGGGATAATACTATGCAAGTAAGGCATGCTTTTTGGCTTACAATTGGATCGTTTTTCAAGCTATGTATGTGGGTATTCTTAGAGATTTATGATTCATCAAAAAATTAAACCAAAAAATAGGAATTACATCGAACTAATTTTCCCATTGAATGAACAGTTTAAAGGAAACTATTGCGGGGGCAGAGTTCAAAGTCGACCATGGACTTCGGAAAAACCACGACAGCGGGAAACCAGGAAAAAGATACAGAACATTTACTTAAAAATTAAACTTTACCGCCAATATTATTCGTCGAAGGGGCCATTCAAAGGAAAGATACATAAGTATCACGCGATTCCTAATTTTTGGCGTGACTTTTTGATATATGCTCGCTGGGTAATCTTGGTTTAGCTTTAAAAAGGTTCAATTTTTGTTTCTATTTTTTCAAATTTTGATTTAAATGAAGTTTTCATTCAAAAAAATTGTCTACAAATAAATTTTTTGTCTTCAATCGGATTAAGATTTTTTATCTTCAAAGCACAAATTAAAATCTCGGCAGTCTTACATAAATAAATACACACAAATACAAGTAAAATTATTACTGATATTTTGAGCGGGCAAACCATGCTTGAGAAACAATATGTAATTGCTCCGCATTTTCTGGACGTGAAGAATATTTGAGGCCGGCATAGGCCTCTGTGCCTTCCGTAAAGACACGCACGTTATAAACGTTTTTTGCTGGCAAATGAAAAATTTTGAAATGGAAAAATAATAAATTGACGCTTTTGTTGGTAAATGGACTAACTTGCTTCTAACTTTCTTTGTGAACTGATTTATGTCGAAAATTAAATAAAAACTGAACTACCCGCTACCCGTGCGGGTAGTTCTCGCTACCCGCAGATAACGGGTACCCGCAAGAATCGTGCGGGTATGCGGGTAACGGGTACCCGACCCGTTACCCGCGGCAACCCTAGCTCACGCTACTTGATAACTTTGCTTGTAGTTTACAGATTGAGCTGAAATAAATGGCAAATTAAAGCCTGAGGTAAGAACTTTCCTAACAAATTAAAGTCGTTAAAGTAAATATTTGGTAAATAAGGTCCGTTTTCATGGAGACAGTCCCATATGTATACTGAAGGTTACCTATTTAGTAGTAGACTATGGATGATCCTCTGTTGGCCAATTTTTCCTCCCAACATTTATTTATTTTGTAAGCTGTAGACAGCGTCTGAATCGGTGTCGTAGGGTTAAGGAAAATACAATAGATCAGTATGTTAATTAAATACAACTTTTACAAAACCTTATTTAAACGCTGGCTAATATTTTTTCGATTGTGAAATTTTTAAAATATGTACATATTTTCCAAAATTCGACCCCAAAGGGTTTCATACCCAAAAAAACAGTTTGCGCGGCTAGATTGACCCATAACAAATACCACTAACGATGCAAAATTGTTTTGTTGTTGGCCTACTTGTAATAATTGTTGACGAAAGACCGTACGTGGACACCTTCCGACTTCTGGAAGTCGGACGCAGCTTCCAGACGTCGGAACATCCGCGAAGGAATTTGTGAGTTTTAATCGGTAGTGGAAACACCGGAAGTCGGAAGTACGAAACTTTGTTCGGCAGCTGACGTTGGAGGCAGAAGCTGTTTGCTGCGGACCTATGACTCTAATTCTTCATTATATTCTAATAAACCCGGTAACTAAGTTATTAGCAGGCGGAGTATCTATGTGACTCAACCGCATGGTAATTAATTTATTATTGAGTGGTAGAAAATTAGTTACCAACTGGTAATATTTTCAAATTTCGTTACAGGGGTTATTACCGGTTTGATAACAAAATGTCTACCACTCAATAATAAAGTAATTACCATGCGGTAGAGTCACATAGATACTCCGCCTGGTAATAATTTAGTTACCAGGTTTCTTAGAGTGTATATTCAATTCAATATTCTTCGATATACGCATCGTTTTTTATTAACGTGCAACGGCATGCGGGTTTTGACTTTGAATTGTTGTGTCTCAACTTTCCCTTCTCCATATATTCAAATAGCGATTTTTCAACTTCTTCATCGCCAGACGTCGGGTATGAATGACTGATAAAACCTCAAAATATGAATGAAAAATGACCGTAACAATTCCTAAAGTATGACCATAAAAATGAGTTTATTTTTTAAATTTTTGGCTTATTAGCTCACCCTGCATAGCATGAGAGCTATTGAATTCCTCATGTCCGTCCGTCTGTCTGTCCGTCTGTTAACCACTTTTTTGCATCAATTGATGCTAATTAAAATGTACCAGGTCAATTTTATCATAAATTAATAGCACCGTTGGTATCTGACAATCGGAAACACCAAATGATGCGAAAGAATTGGGGGTTCTGATTCATAACGCACCAATAATGCATACTAGTCGGCCGATTTTATTAGACAATTTTGACATAAATTTTTCAAAATTATTGCTGATCGTTGGTAGGTAATTCCGCAACTGAGGTGCAACTTTTGTGGACTTTTCTCTAGGCATGATAATCATTTATCTATTTTTTGATATTTCTGCACCATTGGTGCAATATTGCATAAAAATTATTGATTTGTTTTGTTGGATATTTATGCACCTTTTAGAGGAAGTTAGAATGAAATCATTCTTACAGGGTGAGCTACTTCTAACGTTACTACGGTTTATTTTTCATTTATTAGCTCACCCTGCGTAGCATGAGAGCTATTGAATTCCTCTTGTCCGTCTGTCTGTCTGTCTGTCTGTCCGTCTGTTAACGAGTTTTTTGCATCAATTGATGCTATTTAAACATCCCCTTGACCATTAGTGAATAAGTTAGGCGCACCATTGGTATTGAACAAACCGAATCGAATTTTTTAATAAATTAATAGCACCGTTGATATCTAACAATCGGTAACACAAAATGATGCGAAATAATTGGAAGAAGGGATGCAAAACGCACCAATAGTATCAAAATAATAGTAGCAAAATATCCGGGAGAAATGGTCATACAATTTTGACAAAGTTTTCAAAATTTTGTAGCCCGGATGGTCGCTAATGCTGCACTAATGGTGCAACGGCTAGCCGTTTTTGTTGCACGATGGGTGCAAGAATATATACGATTTATGATCTATTTTGCCGGCTTATTCCGCACCTTCGATGCAAAGTTCTGTCTAATCATCATGAAAGGGTGAGCTACTTCTAACGTTACTACGGCTAACAATCGTTAAAGCAAAATGGTGCGAAATAATTGGAGGAATTGATGTACTCCGCACCAATGGTTATGATTAACTGAAAGTTCTAGTTAGCCTTGGCTGACATAACTTAACCTTGAAATCGTGTCAAAATTTAGTCACAATTTTAACCATTTTGGCTGCACCATTGGTGCAACATTATATCAAATTTCTTTTATTCCCCGTTTATTCTGTACCATTGGTGCAAAATTATATGAAAATTGTTGATCCATTTTGTCCGATTATTTTGCACCTTTGGTGCAAAACTATATCCTAATCATTATTCCAGGGTGAGCTACTTCTAACGTTACTACGGTTTATTTGTTCGTGTGATACTAAATTTTTATCAACAAAACAAGTTCTGGGGTGATTTAATTCATTCCCAACGCATTAAATCACCTTAGGCGAAAGTGAATGCAAATTTCAGCGAGTTTCTCATAATGAATCATTGTGAAAAAACTGATTTTTTTGTGATTTTCTGTCGGTTTGGTTGCCTAATCTTAGAATTTAGCCAAACATGATAAAATGAACGAAAAAAGCCCGAAATATGATCGAGAATATGAATATGTCCCAAAACCCGAAAATATGACCAATACGAGAAAATATGCCTTGACCTACGTGACCTAATAGTGACCATAAACATTCTCAGAAAGTTTGGCGACTGTAGGTCAATAAATGGAAAAAGTCATTTTTCATTCATATCCGACGTATGTTCATTGCCTTTCGTTTTTTTACAATGTGCAGATTTTAATTTATTATCTAAATCTAAATTTGCATGTTCCAGTATTTATTATACATTAATTGTACATAGTTTTCACATTAATAGTATAGTGCAAATGCATATGTACTTTTGAGCTAAATGTTTCCATAAGAATTATGATAAGTTCTTCCTCACTGGTAGTGCTTTTCGCACAGGTAAATTTCCATTGGTTCGTATGGACTGAGGAGGACAACCCTTCACCGACAGAATCACAGATCTTGATGCCCTTTGGATATGTTGTAGTCCTAGGTGAGTCTAGCAAAAGTGAAGGAGGATTTCATTCAATGGCCCCATTTGCGCCCGCCACACCCACTCAAAGGTGCGAAAAACACGAAAAATACCCTGTTTTCGTTCATTCAAAAAATCACCAAAAATCCAATTTTGATCGGATTTTCGAAAGTCAGGAAATTTTCGAAAATACTCAAAAAATTAAAAAAATTGAGTTTGCTATTGGATATGATAAAGCAACTATCTAAGATCACAAAAACGCTTAAATTATGAAAATCCGATCGAAATTGGATTTTTGGTGATTTTTTGAATGAACGAAAACAGGGTATTTTTCGTGTTTTTCGCACCTTTGAGTGGGTGTGGCGGGCGCAAATGGGGCCATTGAATGAAATCCTCCTTCACTTTTGCTAGACTCACCTAGGGCTACAACATATTCAAAGGGCATCAAGATCTGTGATTCTGTCGGTGAAGGGTTGTCCTCCTGAGCTGTTTTTCCTTACTCCACAGCGTCGTATTTGTTATAAACCATTTCTTAATTAGGTCCGATACGATGCCAATCCGATATATGCCATGGAAACTGAAATTTTAAAATTGTAATGATTAGCTCACACTTTTTAAATATTGAGTACTAGCCTATAAGCCCGTCTCCTGTCGGGCAATGGGCTTATTTAATTTTCGTGAAAATTAAATGGTATTGTTCATAATTCCACCGAATTATTTTTTTACTGTATCTATATTATTAGCTGGAAATGTCTGTTTGGCAAGGGAAGTGAAACTTTCTCCACTTTCACTTCCGTCACGGAAAATTACTTTCACTTCCGTTGCAGACAAACATTTCCAGCTTATAATGTAGATGTAGCTTCTGTATACTGTATACTATACACTGTATTCTGTATACATCTGTGTCAGTTTTTCGTTTCTTGCGAGTTTTTGTCACTTTTTGCACTGCAAAGCAAGAAATGCAAGAAATGCAAGGTGCAAGAAATGCAATAAAGTGCAAGAAACACAGCGCCATCTAGCGACGCGCCTACGGAACTATGGCGGCGGTAAGGAATTTATTGCACTTTGCATTTCTTGCGGGTAAAAATAGCTGCAAGAAACCAATTTCGTGCGGTTATTTCTTGAAGGTGGTTACTTGCACCCGAAACACTGTTCTGTGTACATATGTATGTACTTGTTCAAAAATTATTGAGGGTACAACCTTAGAATGAAAAAATCGTGTTAATGACAAACTCACGTGTCCGATACCGGGTCAGCTAGCCTAGAGTTATTCGGAAATCCAAAAGTGTATACGAGGTTCTTCTCAATATTCATGACGATCTGAATGGATTCTTAAAGTTTTGTGTATGTGAGGTTAGTTCGGGTTATTGGAACCAAGGCCATATCAACTTCCTATATAAGATTAAGGAGAATTTAAAATGGACAAAATAGAAAAAAACTGCTTCCAAGACACACTCTAAGAAATGTGGTAATGAATCTAAATGGATCATTACCCTTTGGAGTACATATGGCTCTATCGCGCTTGGTATTGAAATTAACGTAATTCTGTATTCCTTCACTCAAAACAAAACGGTGTGAATATATGACTTAACCGCCTTGGTTACAATTGTGATTCCGAGTAGTAATGAATTTTTTCCGTCCGGTCATAACATTATAACTACCGGTATCAAAATCATCATAACTCGGATCTCGGATTCAACATTGTAACCAAAGCGGTTAAGTCATATATTGACACCGGCGGTGTTGATTCGACAAATTTTTATTTTGAGTGTTTAGCAAACATGTTTTACACCGAAAAAGGTACTGAATTTCTACCAACTAGAAATCAAGCCTTTAGCAAAATTATTACTACCGTGGAGTGTACATATATATATATAAATATCACTCTACCCGATTGTTTAGAGTGCAGTCACTCTAAACTTTTGTGTCATCATGACACAAAAGTCAGGATTGCAATGGTCTTACATAAACACCCTTTCGTTTAAATACACTCGTTTCGTATATTACAAATATAAGTTTATTGTGACAAATGATGAATGAATGATGATTTGTCTCTTCCAAACTTGGAAAATTTTGACACAACCTGGTAATGTAAAACGTTACCAAAATTCAAAATTGATACGTACCTTACAGTATGAATTTTGTAAGTGGATTGTAATAAGTTTGAATTTTTAAGGCGTTTTTCATTCCAATTTGTCGTCAAAAGTAAGGTTTGAGTTCGATAAAAATATCTCTAATGGCATTTTGTACCTATTATTTGCGTTATTTCGAGTGTACCGTGTACATAGATTGTCCTAGAGACGTGTTATGGTTATCCGAACAGCTGACATGTCTAATTTAGGGCATCCAAAACCGGTTTTTCCGATTTTGTAAAACCGGTTTAAAACCGGTTTTCGATTTCCCCGAAAACCGGTTTTATAATTTTCCAAAAAACGGTTCTGTAAAAAACCGGTTTTATCACACTCGAAAACCGGTTTTCGATTTTTGGATAAAAATTGTTTTAGAACTAAAAAATATTAGTGATTTCTCGTTTTTCATGCAAAAATCAATTGTTTTGAAATATTTGTCTCCAAATTAATGCCCAAAGTTTGTTCAACTTTAAATTTGACCACATTATATTTAACACATTTTTAAAATTTGGTAGAAAACCGGTTTGAAAAACCAGTTTAAAACCGGTTTTGCAGAAAACCGAAAACCGGTTTTACGAAAATTTCAAAAACCGGAAAAATCGAAAACCAGTTTTACGAAAGTTTTATAAAATCGGAAAAATCGAAAACCGGTTTTTCAAAATTTTCCGATTCTGGATGCCCTAGTCTAATTTTGATTTTTCTAACCAATGATTTTTTTCAACCTACCTTACCAACCAAAATGTCGATTACATCATCCTTCGTAAAAGATTTTTGGTTATTACGGAACGCTCAAACGTCTTGAATTGTGCAGTTGTCTAAATTCTCTTCATCATCCATTTTGTGCAGTAGATCAACAAGGAAACCAGTGTAGCATGGAGAATTGCGACATGATGTTTTATTCACGTTTTCTGAGGAGAGGCACGAACGGTTTACAATTACCCAGGGGTGGTCCTAAATAAGATATGTAGAGTAAACACATTTCATAGTTAGGGCCCGTTCATATATTACGTCAACATAATATAGGGGGGAGGGGGTCGAGAAAATGTTGACGGGGGAGGGGGTGGGGGGTTTGGGTATGTTGGCGTCAACTTTTTTTATTAGCGCAAAATTGGATTTGCTGCATCGCGAGAAATTTTTCCCGGACTTTGGCACACAAATTTAACCGTTTTTTTCACGTTTTTTCTTTGTTTTAATTTTTTTCAATTTTTCTCACGTTTCCCCATTATGAAAAAAAGTTGACGTCAACATTAGGGTGGAGGTAGGGGGTCAAGCAAATGTTGACGATTGTTGACAAAGGGGGGGGGGGTGGAAAAAATCGGATTTTTTTGATGACGTAATATATGAACGGGCCCTTAGAAACACCTTCTAAATATTCTCTGTCGAAAATAGTCACCTCATTTGCGCAATAGACACCCGAAAAAATTCAATTTCAGCCGAAACTACTAATATTATCTCTGGCCCTATCTATGATTATCAGACGTCGGGTATGAATCACTGATAAAACCTCAAAATATGAATGAAAAATGACCGTAAAAATTTCCAAAATATAACCATAAAAATGACTTTATTTTTTAAATTTTTGGCTTATTTTTGCATTTATTTGTTCGTGTGATACTAAATTTTTATCAACAAAAGTTCTGAGGTGATTTAATACATTCCCAACGAATTAAATCACCTTAGGCGAAAGTGAATCCAAATTTCTGCAAGTTTCTCATAATGAATCATTGTGAAAAACTGATTTTTTTGTGATTTTCTGTCGGTTTGGTTGCCTAATCTTAGAATTTGGCCAAAAATGATAAAATGAACGAAAAAAGCCCGAAATATGATCGAGAATATGAATACGTCCTAAAACCCCAAAATATGACAAATATGAGAAAATATGCTTTGACCTACATACGTGACCTACTAATGACCATAAACATTCTCAGAAAGGTGGGCGACTGTAGGTCAATAAATGGAAAAAGTCATTTTTCATTCATATCCGATGTATGATAATTATATACGTAAGTTCATTAACGCCAAAAGCGCTAATGGCCACACCCCCTGTCAGTCTGGTTCAAGTGCCGGGGGATTATAACTTAGTACCTGGGAAACGTCACCCAAAAGTTCTGATTCCCTGGACTTTTTAGTTATGCAAGTTACAGGGAAACGGAACCCACTACATAGTCGCAGGATTTAGCGGGTGTCGATTCCCCGGTACCATATTACACAAAAGTTACGATTCCCCGGAACCCAACATTTTTTTTTCAATTTTCCTAAAGTGGATAAATTTCCGCAGAAAATTTGTATTATCTCAAATTAACCTCCCACCAATGAAGAACATTGGATAAAAAAGTTAGAATTTTTTATAGTGGCGTTTTTCCTAAAATCACAAATATCTGACAAACTTGAGGAGCGGCAAGCTTAAAAAGGTCCGGGGAATCGTCACCCAACAATGATTTTCATATACAAATAATTTTTGGGCGACGATACCCCGGACCTTTTTGAGCTTGCCGCTCCTCAAGTTTGTCAGATATTTGTGATTTTAGGAAAAACGCCACTATAAAAAATTCTAACTTTTTTATCTAATGTTCTTCATTGGTGGGAGGTTAATTTGAGATAATACAAATTTTCTGCGGAAATTTATCCACTTTAGGAAAATTGAAAGAAAAATGTTGGGTTCCGGGGAATCGTAACTTTTGTGTAATATGGTACCGGGGAATCGGCACCCGCTAAATCCTGCGACTCGTGGGTTCCACTTCCCTGTAACTTGCATAACTAAAAAGTCCAGGGAATCAGAACTTTTGGGTGACGTTTCCCAGGTAATAAGTTCCAATCCCCCGGCACTTGAACCAGACCGCCTGTAGGTAGGAATTGAAGATTTTAAGCCGCTAATGTCATCATTGGTCGGATGTTTCCAAAACATATTTAATTTTGAAAATCGATAGGGAATTGCAAAAATGGCTAAAAATCAAAGTTTCATTGCAGCTTGTGCCATATAATCTTGAAGCAAGAAAATGCTGCGGCTACGATTGATTTATAAACCATAATTTGACTTTTAAATCAACTCTAGTCATATAAATGAATATAAAAACCATTCCCACTGCTGGGAATGATTTAAAATTTTGCGCTATTTTGTGCAGGAGTCGATAATGCAAATGAGATACATATTTGCATATCTTTTTTGAGTAGATGATAATCAATAAACCCTTACAAACGAATATAAAAAGTAGCGTCAGAACGATCAAAATTTCCTATAAAGTGTCACCCTATCCGACAATTATGTATTTATTTGTGACCCTTACGGTCACATTGTTAATGAGATTTTTTCGCCCTGAGTGTGAGTGGCCACTTAAACTCAATGAATTTCATATTCTTAATGAAAATAATCCCCACTCACGTGAGTGGAGACTTTGGAAAAAAGTGAGTGAACTTTGGGTCATGGAGATGAGTTCAACTCAGACAATTTTCACAGTTTGTATTCCCAATGACTGTTTTATTTCTCCACTCAACGAATTTTCGAAAGTATCACTCAATTTCGCTAGTTACGCAACGAGCTATCTTTGGCTGCGCTCTCAACGTTCGCTTGCATAAAAATTACTTGATTTCATGCAACAACATCATATTTCCGGAAAATATTTGGAACACCTTCTGAAAAATTACTTTCTTCGTTAAGTACGTAAGTTATAAAAATATAATAAACATACCAAAATACATTTCACACTTTTTGTTCAACTTATGAAAATTAATCCAATTATGTAAACAATGAGAACATGGCTCTCTCTCGTCTGCAAGATTATGAAGATCGATTAGAGCGTATTCACATTGTCCCGAGTCGTCAATTGAAGGACAAGTCAAACCCTATGGAATCACTCTCCGAGCACCAATTCCGGTATCGTCTCAGCAAGGACGCTACAATATTTGTGGCTGATCTGATCAAAAACCAGCTGGTCAGTCCCCTGGGGCGTGGAGTTCAGATCCCACCAATACTGCAACTACTCGTTGCCTTACGTTTTTATGCTGGGGGCAGCTTTCAAATTCAAGTAGGTGATTTGGCACAATTATCGCAAGGGACGGTGTCGAAGTTGGTCATGCGTGTCTCCGGAGCCCTGGCAGCCCTGCGTCCTCAGTTTATCAAGTATCCTAATAACAACGAAGCCAATTTAGTTCGCCAACGCTTCTACACCTATGGCGGATTTCCGGGGGTGGTTGGAGCTATTGACTGCACACATGTTCCAATAAAATCTGTTGGAGGGGATAATGCTGAGCTATTCAGAGACCGACATGGAAATTTCTCCATAAACGTTCAAGCAGTGTGCACATCAGACCTGAAGATAACCAACGTTGTAGCACGCTGGTTTGGGTCATGTCACGATAACAGGATTTTTGAAAATTCAGCGCTTTATGGGCAACTCGATCGAGGAGAAGTACCAGGGATACTACTCAGTGACTCAGGATACAGCTGCACTCCCTATCTGATGACCCCATTGACGATGCCGAGAACTGCAGCCGAAAAACGATATCAAAGTTGTCAAATCAAAACTAGGAACCCCATCGAACGCTGCTTTGGCACCGTGAAGCAGCGTTTTAATTGTCTGCGATACATGCGCCTAAAGCTATCCACAACCCTATCCACCATTGTTGCATGTTTCGTTCTACACAATATTTCCATAATGTATCGTGACGATCTGGAATTCGAATACGAGGATCACGAGGACGATGCGAACGGGGATAGACCAAACCATGGTACAAGTCCCGGAATTTCTGCGAGGAATCGAATTATTTCTTCTCATTTCTCATAATTGAATTGTAGAGAATGTTTTATTTGCTGTTACTTGTATTTAATTAAATGCAAATTGTTTACATAAGTTATCGAACAAATTAAATAAATTGAAAGCATAAATTGTATACATACATACTTGAATTGCAATCACTAGAATTTAAGGTTAAACGGAATAATTGATTAATCATCATTGCATAGTTTAGATTTTTCAATTTGTAAACTAATCAATTTCATTCTCGCAGTGTAAAATTCTTCATCCATCGCAATATTCTTCTCTTCTCTTTCAATTTGCCTGTCGAGGAGTTTCAGTTTCTTGGCTTGTAACTCCTCCTCCAGGGAAATAATAATTTCATGCCCTGCGAGTAGTTTCCGCTTCCGGTCTTGTGGTTTTAATTGCTTGGTTTTACTACACATCACCTTTCGAACTAAAAATTACAAATGGTCATTCAAATTGTAAAATTGAAGCCTGATAAAAGCATGATAAAAAGGTCTCACCAGTTGTGTCATTAGTACATCCTATATCATCGCAATCAGTTGGTGGGACGACAGCAGTTGCCTCAATTTCGACCGTGCTTTGTTTGGCTGCATCTTTTTGATTTCGTCCTAAATAGATATATATATCTATATAGATTATACAATTATATTGTGGCAAAATAACGTACTTCGTAACCACTCATCAAATCCAAGTTCCACACCCGATCCTGCAGAATCAGCGTCATCGTCATATTTATTATCAAGCGAGGTCATCTGTGCCGGAACAATGGCTGCGACCTTGTAGGAGGTTGGGAAAAGAGAATTCTCTTTCGACCCTCCGCCGGTTTTACCTCGCCCCCTTTTCTTTTTTGAAATCTATTAAAAAATGTATCAATGTAATGCAATCATAATTTCAGATTATAATTTTAATCATGTAATCGAAAATAGTGATAACATAACTAACCTGCTTTTTGCAGCGACTTTTCAAATTTTCCCAGCCTTTTTTCAACTGAGCCCCTGTACGTTTCACTACCGAAATGTGGGAACAAAATTCCGTACTCACACTGTCCCAAGCGTCCTTTTTCTGAGCTGTCCATACAGCGTTGGTTCGCTTGTTCTCTACTACGGCTTTAACAGACGGCTTATTCACTATTTCCAACAAAATTTCCTTCTCCTCAGAAGTAAACGGGGGTAATTTTGCAGTCTTTTTTTCAGATTCATCTTCCGAATTAGACATGATCACACTCTTCTTTCCAACCAATGAAATAATACCTTTGCTAATTTACCGCGATACTAGCATAGAGAAATGCACCAAGTTTCGTAGACGTTAAATCGTTAACACGAATTCTATTAGTAAATTTATTACTATTATTTACTTGAGAGGAAATTTTATTTTGCAAGTCAAGTTGAAAGTCCCACTCAAAAATCTCGACTCAGCTCACAAATTGGAGACTCAGCTCACAAATTCTGAGTGGAGGTTAATTTTCATTAAGAATACCAACTGAGTTGAGTGAAGAATCGAGACTCACACTCACACTCAGCAAAGTGTGAGTGTAAGTGGCGATTTTTGTGTCATTAGGAATGTGACCGTTAATCTCGTCCTCAAGGTCACGAGGTCAAAAATATTAACGTCTTCAAAAACGTTGTAAAATTTCCTTTAAAGTGACACCCCATATGACAATTATATATTTTGTTGACCTTTGACCTCGTCCAAAGGTCATGAGGTCAAAAATATTAGCGTCTCCAAAATCGCGGTCAAATTTCCTTCAAAACGTTACCCCATATGACAATTATGTACATTTCGACCTGTGACCTCGTCGCCAAGGTCAAAAGGTCAAAAATTTTGACGCCATGGAATTCGTGGTGAAATTTCCTTTAAAATGACACCCCATATGAAATTTAAAGTTTAATTTTATTTGGACCACACCCCTTGGTGCAGTGGGGTTTGGTCCGATTGACCCCATTTTCGAACTCGACCGAGAACTAAAAATTAGAAGCACAATAGCGAAAACGGGGTTTGATTATGTTGACTCGTTCTGGAGATATCCTGCTTACAGACGGACAGACGGACGGACAAAACGATCACCATAAGTAGCTGACGCTACTTATGTAATAATCACATTTCGCATCATCCTCACTTACCTCCATTGTCACGATTTTATTAATTTTGGGTCCAGGGTATTCCCACCTGGGTTTTAATGGGTTTTAATGGGTTGTAAATGAATAAAACCCAGTGGGTTTTACCATGTTAAGTGGGTTTTATTTGGGTTTTAATGGGTTTTATTGGGTTTTAATTGAGTTTTACTTAAAAACTACATTCTAAAAGTTAAATACATCTCATATACGTTAGAAGACGTTATCTCAATTCATTCTAAAGCAGTTTATTTCATTACTATTCTAATATATGAAAATTCGGAACAATTCAATAATTGACTCCATCCTTTAGCATCACAGATTTCAAGTGTTATAAAACAAAATAATTTCCGAATAGATACAAATTCCTAATTATTTTTGTTAAGTTATTACTTAAAACTAATAAAACCCTATAAAACCCATTTAAACCCAATAAAACCCATTAAAACCCATTAAAACCCAAATAAAACCCAATTAACATGGTAAAACCCATTAAAACCCATGGGTTTTATAATTTTTGATTAAAACCCTGGGTTTTTCCGAACCCTGTTTGGGTCTGACTGAAATAGAAATTTAACGTCGAGGAAATTATTAAATTAAAAAACTATGTACATATTTAACATAATTAAACTATATAAATTCGTATATAAATACCTTCACAGTTCCATCCATAAAATCCTTTTAGGCAATTGCAAATTCCAAATCGACATCGCGTAACGTTGGTTACGCGATGAAAAAACTCGTTACAATTCTAAGCAACAAATTATTAGATATGTACATATTACTCCCATTTTCATCCAGAATTTTTGAAAAAAAATCAATTCCCTAATCACAAATTTATTAATATTCATAAAGAGTAAATATATGTAAGTAACTTGTTCTTTCACCTTTTACAAAACCCTCCGATACGACGAAAATAAGCAGAAACGCCCCCACTCCGACCAGGATTTTTTCAAAAAACGACATCTCCTCGAACTAATAAAGTGTTTATTACGGATTGATCTCTTATGATATGGCTACCATACACAGGTTTCGTGTTTATGTGAGGTCGAATTGTACAGAAATTGTTAAAACTTTTAGACCAATGGACAAATTTCTTTTTTCTCATTGCGTGCAGATCAAATGATTTATAAAGTTCAATGTAAATTAAATTTTATGTAATTTGTATGTAAATTTTATCCTGTCATGTTAAATTATTCCAGTCGAAGATAAAGATCAAGAACAGGGTTCGGAAAAATCCAGGGTTTAAGTCAAAAAATAAACCGTCGCAAACGCCCATACGGAAGTAGCTTCAGACTACTTCACTCCAAGCACTCCCACGACATCGCGGGAACACTTGATTTTACAGTATTTCATCTATACATTCAATTTTTTCAAAAATCTCATTTTGCCCCGACCACACCCCCTGGCTCCAGGGGGGGTGGTCCGGTTGACCCCAAAAGTTGATAGGATCCTCCCCCTGGGGTCCTATGTATGATGGTGAAAACCGATTTCGATTATCTCGATCCGTTCTCACGTTATCCTGCTTACAGACAGACGGACAGACAGACAGACAGACGGACGGACAGACGGACAAAGTCTTCACATAAAGTAGCTGAAGCTACTTAATAACAACCCAGGGGTTTTAATGGGTTTGAATAGATTTTAGGTAATAAATAAATTCAACAAACAAATCATGCAACTATTTAGAATTCAATTCCAATCATATTTGCCAAAATCGTCCTTGTCCATACATATTAGGAATTGTTTCGGTTCTGAAATTATTTTTTAACATTAAATGGTGGTAAGGGAGGTTGTTCATTGTTGATTTTTCTTCGGGTTTTCAAAAATTACGATATTAATTAAATAAACAGATTAGCTCCAGTGAAACAACTTCGACAAACGTATGAGAGATGTTTTCAACTTTTAGGACACAGTTTTAAGGCAAAATCTAGGTAAAACCCAATTAAATCCAGGTAAAACCCAATAAAATCTAGGTAAAACCCAATAAAATCTAGGTAAAACCCAATAAAATCTAGGTAAAACCCAATAAAATCCAGGTAAAACCCAATAAAATCTAGGTAAAACCCAATAAAATCCAGGTAAAACCCAATAAAATCTAGGTAAAACCCAATAAAATCTAGGTAAAACCCAATAAAATCCAGGTAAAACCCAATAAAATCCAGGTAAAACCCAATAAAATCTAGGTAAAACCCAATAAAATCCAGGTAAAACCCAATAAAATCCAGGTAAAACCCAATAAAATCTAGGTAAAACCCAATAAAATCCAGGTAAAACCCAATAAAATCTAGGTAAAACCCAATAAAATCCAGGTAAAACCCAATAAAATCCAGGTAAAACCCAATAAAATCTAGGTAAAACCCAATAAAATCCAGGTAAAACTCAATAAAATCTAGGTAAAACCCAATAAAATCCAGGTAAAACCCAATAAAATCCAGGTAAAACCCAATAAAATCTAGGTAAAACCCAATAAAATCCAGGTAAAACCCAATAAAATCCAGGTAAAACCCAATAAAATCTAGGTAAAACCCAATAAAATCCAGGTAAAACCCAAATAAAACACATTTAACATGGGTTTTATTCCCTTTGGGTTATTATCAATTGGGTTTTATTCATGGGTTTTATTCATTTATTTACAACCCATTAAAGCCTTAAAAATCCAACCCAATAAACCCTTGGTCAGACATAATATCCTGCATGGTCAAGAAGAAAATTTGTTTTATAAATCTTTCAATCTACAGAATGACTCAAAAGTTGCGGTGAAAGGACTGCCTATTTAAAAAATAAGTACTGAAAAATACAGGCCTTTCAGCTTTATTACTTTGGAGTCTCCCTATGTATGTACAGAGTAGTTATAGGATGTCACGCTGCAATGGAAAATTTTTTGGATGGGAAAAATTCGTAAATTTCCATTTCTTACAGAAATTTTGTCTCTAAAATTCAATATTTTAAGTATTTAGTCATCAGTTTTATAGTAATTATAAGAATCTCAATCCAAAATCTTGAAACTAATGGGAGATTTATGGACTTTTCCTACATTGAAAATTTTCTATTGCAGCGTGCACTCAAAATAAGGTAGTAATAAATCATTACCATGTGGAATGACTATGTGGCTCTACCACGTCGGTTACGATTTGTCGTAGAAATGGTAATAATAAGTTCAGGGAAATTCAAATTTAATACATAATGGTATTCAATTCCATAATATTTGGTAATGACTTTGAATTTCCCTGAAATTATTATTACCATTTCTACCACAAATCGTAACCGACGTGGTAGAGCCACATAGTCATTCCGCATGGTAATGATTCATTACTACCTTATTTTGAGTGTGACATTTAAGCCACCCTGTACATTAATTAGATAATAATTTCTGACTGTTGCTACAACGTAAACGTAGATACTTCGTGATCGTGTCTGGGTGAAAATACGAAAATGCATGGCAATAAAGTCCTAAATCCTTGTACTTTGTGGGGTAGCCGAACTACTAATATTTAGTAATGGCCCGACCAGAGACAGTAGCATATTGAAGCTAAGTTAAATAAGACCGAAAAGTCCCCTTGCACTTGTTGAAATATTTCGTGCCCACCCTGTATGCTAATAAATACGTAGATGGGGTGCGTGACAGGAAAAATAGCAATATTAAAGGAATACAATTATGTATTTATTACCTATTGACAAATAATACTGATTATGAAAGGTTGCCTTGTTTTCATCATCTCGACAAATTTAATAACGTGCATTGGCAATCTTTATTTCATCCTTAGCTTCAGACAGGGCTTATGGAACCGTCATGTCTGTCTGTCCGGCAGTATTTATGACATATTTTTAATCCCGTCATAATTTCGTTTAAACTGACCATGAGCGTTGAAAAGCTTAAAACACGTCTCTAAATAATTATTTGTCTAATACAACATAATTATTATTTATTCGCAGCGTTAATAGAATGTATACAATTTTCTGTACGTAAAGCTCGTATCCGTGAAATTTATTCATGTCTTATTAATATAAATCTTGTTTATTTTTTAAGGATGCTATCCCGAAAAATACACAAAAAGAACCTGAATGAAATTATTTTCCTCCAAAAACTCGATAATGCTGCCTTTAAATTCATCCACTCTAATTTTCTGCATGATGGTACCTACACTAATTAATGCTTCCTTGGAGTTTTATAAAATATGTACAAGTCAGTCTACTAACTTCTCCACACTTTGGTCCAATATCGTTTTTGATTTTAGAGTTATCTTCATCGACAAAAACCTTAAGCGGACTCGAGGATGGCGTGCTAACTAATTTGATTGGACTAAGAGAAGATCAAAAAATAGTTCATGGCGTGTTACCGTTATCGGTTCGTGGTTCGTTGATCCACTTCGTAAAGTTTTCATCCGAAATTTGTATGTTTCTTCCAGCCGCAAATTTTACGAACTGATGAATCACCTCGTCCGATAGTGATACGTAAATAATCTGAGACCAAAAAAATATGCAATTTATTATGAAGTTTGTTTTATATTGATTCGACTCATAATACCTGCATGATTTGCCATGATTTATGGTTATCCAAAGCCTTCTTGCAAAAATCCAAGGCCCTCGGTGTAGTGAATCCCAAGAGGATGGCTACTGGTTTGACGAGGACGTCAAAAAATAGTCCAAAAAACGCACGTACGATATTCATCTCCATGTGGCCAGCTCCTGCAGGTAAATTAACGTATTTATTTAGTACTATTTTTTCCACTTGTTACCAGTATATTTATAGTATCAATTTATGTAGTATATAATCTAACCTGGTCGGAGCACAATTTTATCAAATAAAGGACGTGTAACGTGGTCTGGTAAATTTTTGCACTTTAAGTTCTTCCCACTTGCGCCACATGTGGAGCAGAGTTCATGCGAATCTATCACTTTACTGGCGAGGTTGTAGGGTTGCCCGTCGCAGTAGACGGTTATCCACTTTCTGTTGGGGTCGGACGCCTCAGACATTTCAGTTATCGTAGTTAGTACCTTGATAACCGTGTCGTAAGAATTTGGGTTCATCATTAGATTTTCCATATCAGTTATTGTGCAGCTACTTTTCATTCTAGGAACCCGATCATATTCTAGACCCGATTCATAGGTTTTCGCTTTTATGGATGCGGCACAGTCATCCAAACCTGATTTATCTGATTCTTTAACAGCAATTGTTAAACGAGCTTTTATCCAATCTGTTCTGTACTTGTTGTGGATATTCTTCGCTGTAATGCATTGTGTTTTAAATGCCTGGGTCAGTTTTTGTTGCTGCGTTGTCAGGTTCAAAGATGTGGGGACAGGAATCTGCTGCATATTGTGATTGATTGATTCTGCAAAGACGATTAGAGTCGTCACAACTGAGACTGGTTGAGTTGCTCCCAACGTTACACGATAGTCTCTTCCTACGATCTGCTGGTTGTCAAATGCAACCGCTATGTGTCCTAAAGGAAATTTAGGGGTGTCTGTCGCCAATTGGGCGATTAAGTTTAGCATCGTCTTATAACTTCCTGCGGGTTGAACTGCTGTAAAAAGCTGGCTCGCTAATCGCGACCCACCGTAGGAGTGAAGGACAATGTTATTTGATAACGATAAAGGATCTATGAACTTGTTGTTGATTGCCTTTGCAATATTTCTGGAAGCGGAAAAGAGATACACGATTGCTTTTTTTCTATCTTCGACTGACAACTCACTGAAATAAAAAAAGTATTTACTTGTAATGACGAAAATAATTAAGTGGAATGAGTACAAATGTTTGACATTTGGTTGGGTCGACATACCTTAACTTACTCAACTCCTCAGCATACTGGCCAAAAAACGATGTCCTAAACTTGCTCCATCCTTCCGTGTAATTGGATGACAGGAGAATTTCCTTTTTTTCTTCATTGCTCAAAGACGCGAATGATGCTTTGTTGAATGTATAAAACTCCTCGTCTGCTTGTGCTAAAGCTTGTGCTAAGCACCTGAGGTCCGATGGAGATATTTTCTTATCCGAAATAAGAGAAATGGTGTGCGAAATTGACTCTGTTTAATCCAAAAAATAGAAGAAAATAAGTTGGCTATCAACTACAAAATACTTGAAACTATCAAATTACCATCAATGGGCGCAGTTTCATCCATTGGAATTGGTTGGCTGGGACTTGGTGATCCACGAGTATCTACATTTGTCAATCTCCCTTTTGCCATTTCCACGCAAGCCAGACACACATAATTCGTGCGATCTTTTCGGATGACCCATTTATTATTTTCCATGTACGTTTAACTGCTGAGGGGACGGTTCTAGCGTTGGTTATTGATGCTAATTCCAAGCTTAAATTAGGATGTAACTTGGCAGCTTCATCATGGACTACAGCGGCACATTTCCTCTTGGAACTGGTAGCCATTTCACTGTGATAATTAGTTCTTATTAAAGCACATATACAAACTTCAAATTCAGTGATTAAAACTTGCTTTACCTCTTTCGTAGTAATTATATTTTTACGCGACCAAATATTAATATTTATTAATATGATGGCGCTTTCTCTTTCTCCTTCACAACGGTTCCTTATACAAAGGAAATATTAGTTAATCATTTTCAGAAGACGCCGGCTTCATTTGGTACATTCATTTTGTACCCAAAAATGTATCAAGAAACCCCGAAATGTTCATCCTTTGTTCCTCCTTCATGCATGCAATGCTAAGTTGGAGATCCTTCTCAATCAGTCTTTGGTTGACTGGGCAAGAGGAAACTTTCTCGAGATCTGTCCGCAGTTGAATATAATTAAGTCAGTGCTAAGAATTTTTGCTGACAACTGACTTGTGATGTCCTTCACACTTGCTCCAATGAGTGGGGTTGGGGGAGCGGCAAGCGGTGACGGAGACGATGCAAACCAACGTCAAGGACCTGGGACACTCTCTGACCAGGAATTACATCAATCTAATGACGAAACAACTTCGACGGACGCGTCTGGAACTGACGCGTCTGGAACTGACCAGCGAAGGATCAAGTATGTTTTGATTATGTTAACACCTGTGACAGATTAGAGTCAGAAAACCTCTTAAATGAAACTTCGCTGCATTTCGCAGGAAAAAAACTGGACGGCCTGTAGGCCCGGTTAAGGACGAATACATTCAAGACAACAAGGCCCGCACACAGTGTGCAAAACGAACTGCGCGAAACCTCATTAAGACGGCAAGTTATTCCTATTCTTTTTTGCAGATATATGTAGGACATGTTAAATAAAAATCGTACTTATCAGGTTCGACAATATGAGACGAAATCCAGAGCAAAAGTTTTCCTGCAAACGCAGTACAAAGGAGAGAAGAGTTTAATCTCCTTTTCGCATGGCACGCCATTCCGTATGGGTGACCAAGTAGAGGAAGTGATTTCCCCCATAACCAAGGAAGATGTCAAGGGAGCTGTCCAAGAGGCAATTTCCCCCTTAGTTCGAGAGATGAGGTCGTCCGAGGCGGCGGCAACAGCGGCGGCGACAGCAAGTACTTCTGCGCAGGAAAGTCATCATTAGAAACTATTAAGTCGAAATAAATAAGGTTTGATTTACATACTTCTGTAATATGCAGGTTTTGTCATTATCGCCCCAAAAACGCACTGTGGCAGCAAAGGAAGGGCATTGCAACAAGTGCAATAAGCAGAAAGTGACAAAAGATTTCATGACTTTTGATTCTGCCTGGATTGGATGTGCAGGGCCAAATTGCGATAAATGGGTAAGTGATGGGTTACGTATAAATATACAAAACAATGATCCCTGATTGACTCTGTATATCAGTTTCATGCGGACTGTCTGGGATTTCCTGGACTTGGAGAAGGCGACGTGGCCAGCATGCCCGACTTCTATTGCGACATTCACCTTGCGTTTGGACGTAGCAAGAAGAAAGTAAGCAACGTATATGAGGACCAACCTAGGGGGACAAGCAACGGACGAGGAAAGAAATAAAGAGGTCACTTTCTGATCAATGCTTACATTTCAAATCATATTTCAGTTCCATGATTTTTATCGCATGACCAAATTATCTTAGCTTCAAAGGCATGAGTCAGCATTAGTCACCACTTGTCAGTAACAACAGCGTTAAATTTCTAAGAAAAACACGGATCAAATTCTGCTTGCGCAAATTAGTTCTCTTCATTAGGGATGAATATACAAACTTTGCTTAAGTATATATACGTGCTTACATAGACATTTACATCCTGGTGTCAATGCAAAATCACAGCAATGAAAGTATTCAGAAATAAATACGTAGCAAAAATACGAAAGTTTGCTTACATATAACATTCCTAGCAAAATATGAGTATGGCAAAAAGGCGACTCTCCGCGTCTAGACATGTAATTTGACTCTCGATGAATTACATACATGGAACACTTATTATTTTCTGCTTGTTTATTTTTTCACAAAATGCTTACACAAATGGTACATCCTGTCAAATAAGTAATTATATTATGGAATCCAAATAAATGATTTTGCTTAACCAAGAGAAAATTGTTGTATTAAATACATTTAATTCAAATATTTAAAAAGCGTTGTCCATACTGAACAAGTGACGTGAATCATGTGTGCTCGACGGCAGAAGGACTCACTTTGCGTAATTTGACTCCAACTGAGAGATGTGCTGCAAGGAGAGAAGGCATGTTTGTTGAAGCAGTTTATAGCGTTCTAATTCCTTGTCATCAGGCATGTCAGATAGAATGAATTGCTCCTAAAAATGAAGTATGTATGTACATTTAATTCGTAAAATATGCACAGAATATTCCTAAGTTAGTCATACCACGTCATCGTGAATATCCGAAACCAGTAAAGGCAATTCCTCGGCTAAAAAGTCGGTTATCATACAAAGTTTGATGACAGGAGGTAGCGTACATCCAATGGCATTCTGAGCAGCATTTATGTGCTGAATCGCTAGTTTTTTTACAATCCTTATTTTGTAGTCCAACTGGAGTAAAACAACAATATGAAATAATCAAATAATTAGTTTTAGCTAATCAATGGCAGAATTAGTGGATCAGAAATATAAGCAGGTTTAGTTTGTGATAATAATGAGCACTATTAGTAATGTTAAAGAAGTGCGAAGTCCATCGCGGGGAATTACGCTTAGATCCATGGATGCATGATCGTTTACATCGGGCGCCTTAGCTGTTCCAGACGTTAGTGAAGAGGTTGACCCCGTGTTTTGCGTGGTGGAGACTGTAGGGGGGCGCCCAGCTTGTCAGGAATGACAGTCTTCACAGAATCTGGATCAATGTACACTTGTCGACTTCGGATAAATGATGTCATCAGTAAGATGCATTTTTTCTTCTGCTTCTCAATATTTTGTTTTAATTTGCCTCGCACAATTTCTTGCAAAGTAGGAAATCCCGAAAGTTGCTGTAGTGCTTGAGTAGTGCATGTAACAACGAGGTCTGATATCTCCTCAATTGCATCGATTATCGGAGTAATGATTTTTCCAAGTTCAAAACTCAAAAGTCTTTGAAGAGGTGAGTTGGACGTAAAATGGAAAAAGTTCACGGCTGCGCTATTTGTAATAGCATACCCTATTGCTGCCTCGTCGAGGTCAATCTCTGCCGACATTAGCGCAGCCTTATGCTTCGTTGCAGCTCTGAGTACTAATGAACCAGTTGAATAACCAGATAGCTGCACGAGGGTGGGATATAGTCCTTCAAGCTCATCAACTATTGAAATCCGGACGCTATCCAGCAATCTTAGAAGGAAATTACATCAAAAACTTAGAAAACCACAATATATTAATCACGGATGGTCAAAATACATTTTCTCAAAATACAAAATACAAATACACCTCGGAGCTCAAAATACATTTGTATTTTCAAAATACTTCTGTAATTTTTCATCAAAATACATTTGTATTTTCAAAGTACTTTGATTATTTTATGACAAAATACAAAAGACAGTATTTAAATACTTTTTGAAATGCAAAATACAATAATTAGTATCTAAATACTTTTTGAAATACAAAATACAGTATTTAAATAACTTAGTATTTTGAAAATACATTTTTCGAATTGTAAAATACAAAATACAATTCTCTATATTCTTCCAAAATACATTTGTATTTTCAAAATACTTACATTATTTTGTATTTAAATACCAAATACAAAATATACATTTTGTATTTTCAAAATACAATTGTATTTAAAATACATGTATTTTGACCATCCCTAATAACTACGACCTACATTCCTCCGATCGTGCCCCAATCTACCTGTATATCGTTTGTCGTTTGTATCTCGGACTGAAAAGGGGATCCAGCTCAGCAATTTTGGAGTTTGCATTATCCAGATTTTTCTGCATATACTGCTTCAATGATGGGATGCAACGCATTATGTGAGCTCTCAGTTCCTTACTCAATAGGTTCCCGAGATATTCTGTTCCAATTCTGCCGTTGAGGTGGCGAAATTCCTCACTTTCCGTAAAGAATCTTTTCTCGTTTTCGAGAGCCTCGACCATGCTGACGTTATTTTCGATATCCTGAATAACAGCAGAAACTTAATTTCCATCCAAGCGATATCCATAATTTGAATATAAAAGTTTGCTAAATATGCGCTGCTACCTCCTGGGACCGCAGAACTACCCCCACGTATCCTAAGCGAAGAGGTACAATTTTGTTGTCCAAAACATCGGTATTGCTCTTACCAGCAAAGTTTTGTAAGGACCCCCATCGTTCTTTTACCTTCAGGATCCACCTTTAACAAGATACAAGAATCGTAAATAATTAACATCACCTGAAATTCATACATTTATGCATTTCCTCACTTCTTGTGAAATCTGTATTGCATCCGAATTAGCTAGGTCGACATTCCCAGCAGTGACCGCTAAAATTATTGTTTCTTCTTTGCTTATGTACTTCATGATTGTGGAGTGAACCTGATTCACAATATCGCTGGGCTGAGAAGAAACTCTGACCTTAACGGACCCTGGAATATAAATCATCGGGATTATGATAATCAAAGGTTATTAATTAAATTTAACATGTAAATAAGCAAACAAAAGTTAAACTTGATTTATAGTTTTTCACAAATATACATTCAAAGGTGTGAATAATGTGTGACACGCAATGAAAGATAGAAATTAATTACCTGGCAAGTCGACCAATGTTACGTCCACGACATGCGGCGAAAAGATGGTCAGGTGGATTGGAATATTTGAAATGTTTTTCCCGGGTCCAGCCAAAATTTCTGTCTGGTTGGCAATTTCCTCTTTAATTGCACTAAAATCGTACATCGGCCCGGGGCGATGAAGGAAGACACCGTGCTCTGGACCGTCTGAATTTTTGAGATTAAGAATCAACGGCGTCCGGGTAACAATGTCACTGCCCCGAGGAAGAAAATCTCGCCGAACAAAAGTTTCTAGTAAACTTGATTTACCGGAACTTTGGCCACCCACCACAGCAATTTGTGGCAACCCTGGAATAATTAATTATATTTAGAAATAAATGAGACTACGTAATAAATCCTAACTTACCAAATGTGAAAGGCATCCCGCAACGGATAAACCCCTCCCTTAAATTATTGATAAAATCAATTAAATCTTCCATTTTGAGATTATTATAATTAAATTATAAAGACGTTGTAAGTTAACAACGAACAACCCTTAAAATCAATGGTGATCTAAGATGGAGGACGGAAAACCCAGAAATGTATATATAGTTATCTCAAGAAGTATCGAATTTCATGTAATCGCTAAAAGGAGGGGCTTTATTAAGGGTTCTCTTGACTCACGAGCGTATGAAAATGCTGGAAATGAAAGCATTGCTCACTTTGTTTCATATTTAACACAACATAATATGTACATATGTATTTACATATTTGCAGATATGTCTGTGCATCTTGCATTATATTCCGTTGACCACGGGGAAGAGCTATTCTTCCCCTACTTTATGTCATCTTCCATGAACACATTGTAGGTATTGGTACACATGTAGGTAGCAAAACCCCCACCTCTCATGCCATTATATGGCGGGCTTCATAACTAGTCAATATTGAAAAAATCACAATCCACTATTTATTTTTTTCTGATTCGGAGCCAGTCACGATCGGACTCCGCCAGTCACAAGTTGTTGCCACACAATAGGCACACCTATTGTAATTTTGATTAAGACCCTCCAAGGTAAAGCCATGGCCTCCGTGACATTTTTGTCGACTGGCAGCTTAATAAAGCTCCTCAGCAGCTTAATTAAGCTCCTCAAAAGCGCTTAATAAAGCCGCTCGGCTTAATAAAGCTCCTCGGCGGCTTAATTAAGCTCCTCAGTGGCTTTATTAAGCGCTTAATTAATAAAGCTCCCCGGCGGCTTAATAAAGCTCTCTTCCCCTAACTGAATTGGAAATTAAGGAAGATTCGCAAATTGGAGAAATTTAACTAGTTTGATTCTTTAAATAATTAATAAATTATTTCCTTCACGATAATAAGGTCCTCTCTTTAATTAAACAATTCTTAATTCGTTTCCCCAATTTTATGCAAATATGTATTTATTTACCATGAATTTAATATCTTTTTTCTCATTTTTTTATTCCCAGAAATGGAAACACCACCCACTCTAAAAAATCCATACGTCCGCCTCCATCGGGACCCTTCCTTAGACAAATTTCCCCTTCCTCCTCCTCCCACCCCTATCAATTTAATCCCAAAATACTGCTTCATTTGCGGGGGACACTCTTCTTTTTTCGACGCCGGCGACATCCTCCTGAGCAGTGGCGACCTTGAACGAGTCTCTTATTTTAAACGCGTCCTCATCTCCTCGCGACCTTTTCGGGCCACCTTGTCCCCCAGAAAGTACAACAATTTCATGTCAAACACGTCCACGTGCGAGGATTGTTTCGCCCTCGTTCGCGACATTTGGAGGATGCACAGACGAATTATTTCTGCACAGAAGGAGCTCCACGGTTTAGTGGAGAAAGGCCGGGGTAGATTTATCCAGGCTGAGAAGAAAGTGAAGAGGAAATGTATGTAAATTTAATTATTTAATTATGCAAAAAATTAAAAATTCTGATTTTTCTAAGAGATTAATTAATAATTAATACTTACAGTTGGCCGGATTGAATCGTTCCACTCACCAAACTCCAGCCCCAATAATTCCGAAGAAGAAGGCATAAAATCGGAAATATTTTATGACCAAGAAGAAGACAATGATTTCGAGTGTGTCCTATTTCCCAAAGAAAATTCGCAAGAAAGTTCGCAAGAACCCGACGGAACAATCCAGCCTCAAATTTGTGAAACAATTCGGGACGATAATTATTCACCAAGTGCATCATCATCCAGTGACGAAGAACAAGAAGATTCGCAATCGCTGTAAAAAATTTGCCAACTTTACTTAAATAATTGCACATTACACATTTGCATATATTTTTTAACAGTGCAAATTTTTTTTTTATTCCAGCAATAATTCCAGTGATGACGACGACGAAGGTTCCCATTTCACTTCCTGCTCCGATGAAGAATACGAAGGTGGCACAACAAGGGCAAAAAATCCGCGAAAAAAAAGTTTGCACAAAAGAAAACGTTCCCGTGGGAAATATCTGTATTCATCCTGCGGAAAAGAGCTGCAAAGTCGGAAAGCCCTGGTCGCCCATGAGCTCAGAGCTTGCCACGTGCCCGTCGAAGAGATCGGAGGACTCGGGGACTTCAAACTGCACGAGTGCGCCACCTGCGGAGACAAGTTCCTCGACCAGAAAGACTTGACGAGGTTCGTCTCCATTATGTACATATTTGCATATATCCGAATCCTAAGTATTTATGCAAATGATTTTTTCAATGTCGTTTCATGCATGCAATTTTCTCAGTTTTTGCACAATGCAGCATACAGCATGCAGTTTTTTGCAAGAAATTTCTCAAATGTTCGGAAATTCCTTAAAATAGTGGAAAAGTTCCTAGCAATGTTCTCAGAAACTTTCAAAAAAACTTACAGAATCGGTCTGGACGTATGACTTTAGGCAAAAATTGACAAAAAACATAATTAAACGAACACCTCAAATCTTTCATATTTATTTTAACTATATTATTTCACTTTTTATATTTCCTTAATACAAAAACTCCGTGCAAAAAAGTCCTGCAAAATTTTCATCTTTTTTATAACTTTTCACTTTCTGTAAGTGCAAATCCTCCAAATTTGCTCCTTTTTTGCTATTAAATGCAAAATTACCAAGCATTCCTTTAAAATCCAACAAATACATACATATTTTTCGCAGCGCTTCCTCCACCACGTGTTAAATTTGATTGTACCCCCTTTTTTCCAGGCATCATCTCACGCACTCTACCCTAAAATCAGTCACCTGCCCGAAATGCGGGCGATCTTTCAAACATCCCGCCAACCTCGCCACCCATCAGAAATTGTCTTGTCACGCGGTCCAAATTGACGTCGACGTGCGGAAACAACTTGTCGAACGAGACGTCCTCCAGCGGTCCTTGTCCACCCAAAAGTGTCCCCATTGCCCCGAAGGTTCCCCTCCGCCCCCAAACTGGCCGCCCATTTGAAAAACGAACACACCGGGGGAAACAAAGCCGTCGAAAAATTCGCCATCTGCGAAATCTGCGGCGCTTCCATATCCGCCAAACGCGCCTCCAACATGCGCGAGCACGTGAGTCGCGTCCACTTAAAAGTGGCACGATCAACTTGTGACAAATGCGGGAAAGGATTTTTCAATAAGCGCGAATTAGCGAGTCATTTGAAAGTTGGGTGCGACAAGAAAGGCACCCGAAAGCGGAAAAGAAAGCGACCACTCCCCCGAGTAGAAGATGATGGGGTGGAAATGAATGCAGAATAATGTTGTGAGAATGCGCAGTACAATAAATAATTTCAAAATTACCACACCGTTTTTAGTATTTACCGAATATTAATTTGGAATACTATGCTAATACAATTTTACACTCCAATGAATAAATAAAGAAATTATAAGGATTTCTTATATGCAAGCTTATCATTTTTCATCCACGTATATAAACAGATACGTTGAAAAATTTTGTAGGTGGAAATTTTATTTACAATTAATTTTTACTATAAACATACAATTTAAACAAATAAATCCTTCACTGGCAAATCAGGAAATTTACATCTATGTTCATTACGCTTAAATTGATACTTTCTCGCTTTTGGTGGCTTTTCGATCGTAAAATTAATAGCGTAGGATCGTTACAGTATTTACATTGCGCTATATTTAACGTCTACATAAATATGTATTTATTCATCAGTCCCTCCCCCTCGGGTTACCCCTCGTTGACTTACGCTAAAAATACATGGACCGAGTTCTTCCCCCTCCACGCGCAACAGCCCCACATTTCTTGGCGTGATGACACGATCTCCAGTATGCAAATAACGCCCAGAAGGACCAAACTTATCCCGACAACTTTGAAGAAAGGTGACAACGTGTTGATTGAAACGTAAGATGACGCCTCTCTCGGCTTGGACCATTCCATCGCTTGCACCTTAAACAGGGTTTCGGTTAGAATTAATTGGTGATATTGAGACATATGATATGAAATGGCATTAAATGCTTCTCAAGATCTCAAGTGACATTAATTATATCAAATGGCATCAATTAGCTTTTAATATTTTTTTTCAAAACAGGGTTTATAATCTGCATCTCATGCAGTGACTGATGATTTTGACATGCATACGACCCTTCAAAGGTTGAAGCTATGTATGTACATGAATTTTGCATGTTTTGCATGATAAATCCTTAGGAATGGTTATGTTGGCAATATTAGGTATTACATATCAAACTTTTCAAAAAATCGAGTAGAATTCTATGATATGTAGTAATTGTAAAATGACTAGAATGCAAATTTATAGTGATGCAAATACATATATTGCGTGAGAAACATATCGCCATTTCCCACATTTGAATTTCATGTCTGTCATTGATACCAGTTAATGTCATTTAATGTCACTCACGTTACAGCAATATGGGAAAAGTGATATTTACAAAAAAAAACACTAACCTTATAGCCATGCATAATTAATCGCTCCCACAAACTTTGAAATCCTCCTTGGTCCAGACCCTTGATACTTTGGGCAATCTCAGCCTTCAATAGGTTGTGTACATACGCAAATTTTCCTTCAAACAGGGCAACATCAAATGCCAGGAAACACTCATATTTTCCATTCAAATCCCGATTCTGCAGTGCAAGACGTTGTCGAAATGCTGGGAGTCTACCGTTCAGAAGGGCGACACGTTTTGGACTATTCTTCCGGATGTAGTCAGTCCCGTTGTCCCAGTAGGGGCTGGAAATAAAAAAATAGTTGTGTTGCGTTCAGTGAATTGGGTTTTAAGAAGCAAATAAACTCAAGATAAATGGGCCATCTAGCAGCACTCCAGATGAAATACGGTTACCTAGGACGAAAATAAATCGGAACTATAGTTTGTCTATTTTTTAAAAGACTTTTTTAAGGTTTTTTTAGATACAAAGCTTATGGATGGCGGAAAGTCTCTTCTATCAATTTACAAACTATAGCTATTAGTACATATTTAGTGGCTATGTGACTCTACTATATTTGACTCTACCGCTATGATAACACTTTTATTACCAACGGGTTCTAAATATCTTACCACTTTGGTAATAAGGTTTACTCCCTAGTTTTAGTTTTTAACATTGTCAGCTTGGCCATGAATATATTACCGATTGGTTCGTAACAAATGTGCTACCATAGCAGTAGAGTCACACACATTTACCAAATCTCAATTGAGATATAGGAAATAGCTTCGTCGCTGACCACGATCGTTTCATCAGACTTTGTGGCGTAACGCTTCAAATTTCAACCAATCAATTAACTTATTTACCTTATAACCAAGGTTTGATCATGTATAAAATTTCCAAGCGATTTCATCTCAAATTCGTCCTCCAATTGAACCCGGACCGGAAAAATGTTCGGGTCATCCTCCTCTGACCCGTACACAAGGGTGTATCCGTTCTTAAAAACTTCGCCCAGCGTACGAAATACCTCAGGACGCGGTGGAGCTAAGAGATTACCCGTGATGAACAATTCATACTGCGCCAACAGCATAAAACTGGTGAACACGAGCGATACAAAGGTCACGTTCGAGAGCGCCGTACAACTCGCCGATTGCCGCATAAACGTCGCAAAAATCGCGAAAACCACTTCCCCCACAGCTTTAAGGCAGTCAAACAGATTACCCCTAATTTGCCCCACATATTTGAAACCGTTTACACATCGCGCCACGAAAAAGATGGCCACACAGTGCCACCACACTTCCCTCGTAAATGGCGACACCCACACCGACAATTCTGAAATTTCTGACCATACGTTGAAATTACAATAAACCAAGTTCAGCCCACGGTACCGAAAACCGTACAGAATACCCGTGTCATAATAATCGAAATGGTTTTTATTCACTTCTTGATGGTAAAAACCATACCAATGGCTTATCCATGGTCGTGCCGGGGTAAACGTTACGTTTACAATGTTCCCTACGGTAAAAACTTGCCTTTCCCGGATTTCACAGTATATCATTTTTACCGAAATATAATATTGCCCCATGCCACAGGCTACACCCCCGACAAAGCGGTCGAGCGGGGCGGCCGCGATGGTAATATCGGTCCGCCAGTGTGCCCGGAGCTTAGTAATCGTCAACGTTTTCACCTTATCGGTATATTTGATTTGATGAAAAACGTTTTTACAATACGGGCAAATATAGAACCACGTGACGTCTTGTTGGCGGGAAATATTCGTTTTTAAATGAACCACAAATATTCTACGGGGCAAGGCATAATCCACAATGCGGATGACTTCTTGCGGGGGAAGTTTAGAAATAAAGATAAACACCGTATTCTTGGGGTCCCTTTGGGCGTCTCGAGTATAAGAGAAATAATATCGGCGATACTTGTCGTCTGAGAGGCCAAAGTTGACAATAATTGTGACCGTGCAGACCTCGTAGAACTTAAAGTCGAGAACGTTCCTCTTGTCGTGGATCCAAGGTTGGATAAATGCTGGTCGCCCGTACACCGCGTAGATGAGGTTGGTTGGATTGTTGGTATGAATCAAGTGTTCGGTAAGGTCAGTGTGTGCCAAGGTATCGGTGTATCGTACCAATTTTAGGACGCAGGGGCCAAAGTGGGAAAAATTTAGGATGGGGAGAGGAGAATCCTTGCTGAATGAGGAGGATAATAAAGTTAGAAGGAGCGGGAATGAGAGTGATTTTGCAGACATTTTTGATTAGAAGTGTTAAATTTGATACCAATCTAGAAATATTTTTATACTCAGTGGTCGCTCGTCCTTCCGGGTTGGCAACAAATTTGCCACCACTCGGTAAATGAAGGAGTTATGTTCGCCGCCGGTAATAAGCCCTTTTACCCGAATATTTTGCGTGTAAGCTATCAGCTACATACATAAATATGAGAAGATTTTGTGTTTGCAAAATATGTAACTGTTTTAGCCTGTTGGTTTTCTAGAGATATTTAATGGAATTGGTTCTGTTGTCACGTGTCGATTAAAATGTAGGAATGGTTTACGTGATCTTCTTATATAACCATGTTTTAGGCTGAATACGCCGAAATTATTTCATTTTATAAGTATTTACATACTATGTAACTGGTGTGATAAATACTTAGAATTGTAGGTATTAAATATTAACAGAGCTTTCGGCATTTAAGGTTCGTTACATGAATGTGAAGACATATGTAATTAAGCATGTTTTTGTTGGTAAATTATTAGTGGTAATTTATGGTTTCCCGTGAAGAGGACACTCATCGCATGTCCAATTAATATATTTTATACTCTTCTTTTTCATAAAGATTAATGAAGTTAATTACAATTTCCTGAAAAATAGGTGGGTTACCGTTTTCAATGCTTATGAGTAGTGGGCGGATATATGTACGTACATATATACGTAAAATATGTGTAATAAATATGTGCTTAAGAAAATATGCACAAAAATATGTAAAAAATGTTGTTCAACTTAAATTTTCTAATTTATAAAGTAGAATTTTGAGGAATGAATAAAAATATTTTTGCATAAAAAACTTTATTTTTTGCGAGTATTTTACTCGAAATATTCGGAAAATTTGTAAATATCCACGTTGGCCAGGTTAGATTCTACCCAAAAATTCCAGGATGGTTGGAAAACGTTGAGCTGAAAGGGGTAGAATTATTTCTGTCAAATTGAAGGTATGGTTGCCATAAATTGTTAGTAATTGCAAATAAATTGCTAACAACAAATTAGTATATTTTATAACTGTTTATCAGTTTATTTGCCACTCTTTATGAGGCAAATGATCGTAAAATGCATGAAATTCAATAAAAACTAAACTACCCGGGTGGGAGATAATCACGGGTAGGCATTCATGGGTAGTAGATTATCACGGGTAGGATATAATGGGTAGGAAATAATCACGGGTAGGAAATAGTCACGAGTAGGAGATAATCACGGGTAGGAGATAATCGCGGGTAGGAGATAATCACGGGTAGGATATCGCGGGAATGCATTCATGGGTAGTAGATAATCACGGGTAGGATATCATGGGTAGGAGATAATCACGGGTAGGAAATAGTCACGGGTAGGAGATAATCACGGGTAGGAGATAATCACGGGTAGGAGATAATCACGGGTAGGATATCGCGGGAATGCATTCATGGGTAGTAGATAATCACGGGTAGGATATCGCGGGAATGCATTCATGGGTAGTAGATAATCACGGGTAGGATATCGCGGGAATGCATTCATGGGTAGTAGATAATCACGGGTAGGATATCATAGGCAGGCATTCATGGGTAGGGAATCATTGTTATGAGTCTTCCACACACTATATCACTTGTGTACATACGTATTCCAAATGTGTACATATGGCAAATATGGAAGGGATCGATACTTCCACTTATAATCACCCTGGACACGGGGCTGCTTTCGGGTTGCATTTATTTATATATTCTTTGTGCACTCCAGCTGTGAATTCTGACCTTTTTCATCCACTTTTAACGGCTGCTCCATGAATAAAATTATAAGAATTCAGCCAGTCATTTCCTTGATTTGAGGAAAGAGAGAAACACCAGAGATTATAAAATATACTTAGAAAAAACTGACAAATTTGCAGTAAGCATGGAATGGATCGCAAACAACTCTGACCAGGTAAATAATTTGAGAAACATAATTTAATGGCGAAGGTATACATAAATATTTATAAGTTTTTTTGTGCGCAATTCGTACATGTGAAAATGTTTCCGTGCAGTTCTTAAGCAATAAGGTGAAAGTTTAGAGAAATCCAGAGTATAAAAGTATCCACTGTTTTATGGTGAAAAGTGACAAGACAAAAAAATGAATAGAACTAAAATAGCTTACACTCTTAATAAAACACGGTATCCATATATGCTTCTACCGCGTGGTAATGAATTATCTGGTAATGAATTAATACTGCTTTGTTTAAAATTTAATACGATTTAATATTAAAATTATTACTACAAAGTATTATTTTAATATGTACCATTTTTATACCAAAGTGGTCTAACCGTTTAATAACAACGCGATAAAGTCACATATCAATACCGCTCATATTTTTTGATCACCCGGTTTTTAAGAGTGTGGTAAAATTTGGTAAAATGTGGTAAAATTTATAACTACCTAAATAACGTCAAATCCATGTTGCTACGCACAATCCCGTGAATGAGTAACCAATTTCACAACCCATGTATTACTTCACTTTTGTGGAGTGATAACGTCTGCTTATTGTACTGTTCATAAAAAAATTTGTTATCACATAAAAAATAACTCGTAATCATGGGTTTCCTTAATGTAAAACATGAACAAAAATTAATTTTTAGGTTCCACAGATGCAAGAAATTCCCTTGGGAATGGAAGGTTTGGATAAATTTTTTATTTTCCATGTGAAATGTTTATGATACAACGAAAATCGCAACCATCCCTCAACAAATTCGTTACCATCCAATTGCCCTCCATCATTAAATATTTAAGTAGCGTGAGCTACTTATTGTGATCGTTTAGTCCGTCCGTCTGTACGTCCGTCAGCAAGATATCTCCAGAAGCGGTCAAGATAATCGAACCCCGTTTTCGACATTTGGTTTCTAATATTTAGTTCCCGGCCAAGTTCGAAAATGGGAACAATCGGACCACCCTCCACTGCGCGAGGGGGTGTGGTCCAAAACTAAATCTAACCTTAATTTTCATATGGGGTGTCATTTTTAAAGAAAATTTCACCCCGAATCCAACGACGTTAATATTTTTGACCTTATGACCTTGAGGACAAGAAGCAGCTTTAAAGGAAATTGGAATCACTCTGACGCTACTTATTTATATTCGTTTGGAGGGTTTATTTGGTTGTTGTTGCTCACCTTAACTTTTGTTGGTTTGCTAATCAAATTTAATACTAAAATTAGACCGGGAGGAGAGCCATGCCACCCGGGAAAAACAGCAGGACATAATTAATCCACCTGCGCGTCTTACTGATCAAGTTCCTCCGAAAGCAGACACGCTGTTAACGATCCTTCAGGTTGGTTCTCATAACGCACCGTCCATAAATTACGTAACGCAAAAATCGCAATTTTCTAGACTCCCCTCTCCCCCTTTAACATGCGTAAGTTACGCAGCGTAACATGTGTAAGCACGATATAACCTATACTCTTAAAAATCCGGTAATAAATTCTTAATACCGCGTATTACCGCCTGTGTGGTAAGATTAGGTATTACCATCACCGGTAGTATAGTAACGGACTATTACCATTTCTTCCACCAAGTGGTAGCCAAGACTACCAGCCTGATTAAGTTGAGAGTCTCAATTCGTTCACCACGGCGGCAAGGCGGTATTTAGTCTCATGTCAAAATTGGGTTGTTACTGTGCAGTAATAGTAGTGTTTTCCGAGTGGTAATAAAATTTCTTAGAGTGCATGTAAGCACGATATCACTGAAGCCTTACATTCTTAGAAATCCAGTATTAAAATAATACCAGGCGATATTCATATATGACTTTACCAACCTGGTATTGACGAATAATACCATGTGGTAGTAATAACTCGGTATTAAAGTTTTACAATACTGGTATCAAATTTTTACAGGCCGGAATAATTTTAATACCAAAAGGTAGCAACTTTAATACCGAGGAATCAATACCTGCGTGACTATTCCGGATTTCTAACAGTGTAGACCCCCTCTCTCACGTTGCGTAATTTATGAACGGCCCCTTGGCCAGGATCTGTGCGAAACTAATTAACTGTCTCTCTTGTATTACAGCGATACCCAATTATGTGGCAGGGTTTGTTAGGTTAGAAAAAAAAAATTATAATTTTATCCTGATTTTATCCAATTCTTTTCATTTTTTAAACGAGCCGAATTACTTATTACGCAGCCGTAAAGAACAACACTGCCGCGAGTCAAATGCACTATTTAACCGGCGACCAGGACGTTGCGAGAGAAGCCTTGGCTCCAAATCCGGACGGGACAATTCCCCCGTTAAAAATTTCTCAGAGGATGCGACTCGAGGAAGCACACTTAATGGAAGTCGCAGCAAGGATGCAGGTATTAATATAAATACTCCAATTCTTTTGTTTATTACCGCGTGGTATTACTTACTTGCCAAAGACCAATTATTTACAACATACAATTTATGTACAGATGCCGCGTGAACACTGCGTCCTTTTAGCATTGCCCTGTGGTCGCGACCGCGAGGATGTTCTACGACAATGCAAGAACCTCAGGTGTCAATTTATTACCTACTTCCAGTTAAAGGATGCGGCCGGAATTGCAAATATTCCCTGTCCACGAACCGGATTCACAAAATTCGTCGTTCACCTTATCCCAGCTGATTGCGGTTTTGTGAGAGAATATTTGAGAACAAAGTTTCCTGACCTACTTCATGCCGTCAGAGAAATTCCATATCTACTCGTTGTCATTGGGAGGGGTTAAGAGGTGCCCCCAAACAGTTTGCGGCAAAATAGCCGGTCTATTTTTTAAGAAGTTGTAAATACAGGATGGTTTAAAGGTCAGGTTGCAATGGAAAATTTTCCAATGGGAAAAATTCGTAACTTTCCATTAGTTACGGATTTGGGATGGAGATTTTTATTAATTTTTATCCAAAGTTATGGAACACTGATGACAAAATTCTTCAAATATTGAATTTCAAAGGCAAAATTTCGGTAACTAATGGAAATTTGCGAATTTCTTCCATTTTCCATTTTAACAATGGAAACAATGGAAAAGTGTTCCATTGTAACCTGACATTTAAACCACCCTGTACATGTTCCACGATTTTACCGTTTATAAATAATTTATAAAGTTTATTTTCAATTTTAAAATAAAAGTCTTCACTATCTACCTATATGCTATCAAAAATCAGTGTCTCTGATGTTAAAAAACACCTGCGCAAAATTACTGGATATTAATATTTTTATGCGGTTAATAACACCCACCAAAAATTCGATAAAGTGCACTAAAATGAAAAAAATAATTTAAATCATAATGTAATAACGTTACTTGTTTTATTTACTGGAGCCATATTAATCTAGTTTACAACATTGCATGAAATTTGCAAATAGCACTATCCGCAAATTCTCCAGTTGTGCGGAGATAAAGAACGTCCGGGAATGAATGGGAATGCGCGCTCTAGCGAGTATATTGACAAATCAATAAACCCGCGAACTATAATAATTTAAATTTCTGAAAGCCCACTTCATTAGGGTCAATTTGGTATATCACTCTTAAATTTCAAAAATGGATAAGGGTAGAAGAAGCTTGTTTGAAAGGGAGCTGTTAGCAAAACGAGTGATGGAGTTCTACAACACGACAGCCAACCGAGACTCCAAGGTGACCTGGAACTTTTTTAAGCAGGAAGGAATTCCAAGTTCAAATGTGTATTCCTACATAAAAAAGTTCAAGGATTCCGAAAATGTGCAATTCAAGAAGCCAGCTGGTCGTCCGGCGAAGCTAGCGACCACTCGAGTGAAAAATAGATTTGAAAAAATTTTCAAAACCAAGCCATCAACGTCAGTAGCTGTAGCTGCCAGGAAAGTCAAAATTTCCAAAAGCTACCTGGGGGAAATTAAGGTCCATAAATTAGGAATCAAAGCAAGGACCAAAAAACCTGCACCAAATTACAAGCCCGTACAAGAAAGTCGGATCAAGGATTGCTGTCAAAAATTGTTGAAGAAAATGCGTGGAAAAGTAGTGATCCTGGATGACGAAACGTATGTTCCGGTTGACCCTTCAAATCTTCCAGGGCGTCATTTTTTTCATAGCTCGGATCCCTCTGAAGTGGCTTATGAAGAAAAAGTACGAAAAAAAGACAAATTTCCAAAGAAATATTGCATTTGGCAATGCATCTCCAGTCACGGACATGTATCAGACCCGGTAGTTCTCGAAGGGAATATCAATCAAGATATTTATCTGAAAAATTGCGTCAAGGCTGGATTGGAAGCATTTATTAATAGGTTTCACAAAAATGATAAAGTTTTGTTTTGGCCTGACCTCGCCACTTGTCACTATGCAAAGAAAGTGACCGAGTACCTCAGAAAGAAAAATATTGATTTCGTACCAAAAGATATCAACCCACCTAATGTACCCCAACTCCGCCCAATCGAAAAATTCTGGGCACGTTCAAAGTCAGTATACTCCCGGCTTCAAGATGTGCCTGACACCTTTCGAAAATTCAAAGGACGATGGAAGAAAATCACCTCGGAAGTGGCAAAAACTTCGGGAAAAAATTTAATGAAAAATCTTCGCAAGAAAATCGAACTAGTCGCCAACGGGGGTGTGGCGGCCTTAGCTATTAATTAAATTATGTAGGTACGTATTTGGTATTATACATATGCAAAAAGTTTAAAATTCCGATAACTCATTGTGATTTTATGACCACATTTTCAGACCATTCCCATTCATTCCCGGACGTTCTTTATTTTTGATATTTTTTGATATTTAGCATGATTTATTTAATCCAAAAAGAGTTTAAAAACACATAATTATTCATTATAAGCTTGTCAGACCCCATTGCGCATGGGAAATTACCTGATCAAGCCAGTTGTTTTTACAAATATTTCGACTAAGGTACAAGTACATAATTAGATACAAAATTAAGTTTTAGAGTAAGAGAGCGGTTTAGAAGTGATGCTCGATAATTATTCAACGATAATCAGTTAAAAAAAAAATAAGCTGGAGATCAGTTTCTTTTTGAAAACAGCGGATCTTGACTCGAAATTTTAGCTATTCATTCAAATCATTCCATAAATTTACACCAGCAAAATTAAAAGTATTTAGACCATGAGAGGTCCTCAATTTAACAGAGCTAACCAGAGCATTAGCTGCTAGTTCATTTGCATGCTTGTCACATCCACTCGATGCAATTTGGGTTGTTGGGAATCAAGTTCGTAGTCATTCTTCCGTTTTGAAAGTCGTGTGGCCATCCGCTCAGACGATGTTGCGCCCGTCCCTTTTACAGCCCTCGCTTTAGATTTTTCCTTCCATTCTGCTTGCTCTTGACGTGTTAGATCTTTCCGCACTAAGATGGTGTTAAATTTGGTCCTGCCCTTCAACATAGAACAGTTTTTTAATGCCTGGGTTTTTTGCTGAAATGTGGATAAGTTGATCCGGATAGGACGAGGCTTTCTTCTCACAGGGTCACCAATTCGGTTGTCGTGTGAAGGACCCACCCATTCAGGCACAATTACTTTCATTAATTGTGCAGCAACATTTAACCCTTCCGTCGATTCAGGCACTCCCATCAGTCAGAATAATATTGCACATCCGGGTTAGCCTCTGCTTTTGCTCGACGAATTCCTCTCTTACTTCTTTCAGCAACGTGTCCTTAATTGATCCATGTGAAAGTTTTTCTTCGACACCGATTATCCTTGCCTCCATTTTAGTTTGACCCTCTTTCAAGGAAGATATTTCTCCTTCAATTCTTTCGCGCCAAGCGACAAGGTCCTTAACCACGTCTGAGAGTTGTTTTGATAGTGTTTCTTGATGCTTCAGAATGTTCGCCTCCATCCCCTCCATTTGCTTCTTTAAGATGTCCATGTAGAGATTTGTCACACACGAGTAAATTACAAGGTTATTTCAGGTTCTCAAATGATAAAAAAAATGGTGAAAGATATGTATCTTGCCTATAAAGGCCCTTAAAAGAGCATGAAGGTGGGCCAACAGGCGAAAAGAGTGACGGTCATACTCAGGTCACTCCCTTGGTGTGGTAATCCACCTCCCCCTAAGAAATTAGGGTAAAAACTTGTGCCCACGACCAGATCCGTCCACAAAAAAGAAATTTGTCGGAGGTGGGAAGAATGAGTAGCAGCAGGAGCAGGAATGGGCACCACCACCTACTTCCTTTTACACTTGATTTCTTAATCGCAAAAGTCTAACTTTAAAATTGGTGAGAACTATCAAAAATTGCGAAATTGTGGGGATAATTTTTGTAACTTAATGATCAGTGGGTACAACTTTTTAAAATGATACCAATTGCAAGTTTATAATAGCAGTTTAAAATTTTTTATTTTTATTTAATCCTAGAGTTAAGTGAACATATGTACACGTCCCACGAGATATTTGCATAAAAAGAGGAGAAAACGCACTACAAGGCTGGTAAATTTGTTATTTTCCAAATCTGCTGCCTATTTGTCCCGCTTTGGATGCAAATATCTCTGCCAAACTTGAGCATTAGCAGATAGTGCTATTTGCATTTGCAAATTTCATACTAATTTTACTTGTGATCGATTGAAGCTACCTAGTCCAAATCTGTGAGCATGCGTTGGGAGACCTCCATTGTAAGTGTGCAGGTAGATCTGAGTTTAGAAACTGCCAAATTTTTATTATGATAGACCTATGTACCAATTTTTTTTAGACGATCCACCTCAAAATTGTTCCCTCTCTAAACCGACATTAGCAGCAAACTCGCCACCTGTTCCATAGTAAACTGAAAAATAACTAATGGCGTCGTTTTCTTCAAAAAATTTTCATAGTTCCCCATCCGAACTTTTAGCTCCTTGCAAGAAGCCTTCATCCACCTCAACGGTATTGAATCATCACCAAACGGAGTGCATACATGACTTAACCGGCGCAGTGATACATAGCGTGGATCACCGTACTGAGGGTCAGGCGAGATTATAGAACCTGTCGAAAACTACTAATTATTGGGCGAAATATTCGTTGCTGGATATTTTGAATGATTTCATCGTATTCCTCATCCTTTTTTCATGAGGAGATAAGTTATCATTTCCAAAAAGCCGAGCTTTTAAATCCGGCAGCAGATTTTCATAGACATTGGGCCATTAGAAATGATAATGTTTCCATCCTGAAGTTGGTTTAGTATTTTTTTGTACGTCATTAATGCTTGGCAAACTGTTTTAACAGCATGGAGCTCTTTGGGGTCAAATTTTGGACCCGTTTTCAAAATTTCGAAATTGAGCTTTTGGGTGACGGCGCAGCTTGAACCAAGCTTCCAGAAAAGTTTCGAGTATTTGGAATTAGCGCCATTGTTTAGCGTATATGGGCAAATAGCGACAGGTTCTATAATCTCGCCTAACCCCCAGTATAGTGAAAAATATACACCGCTGTGGTGATGAAAACTCACCACTGGGAATCGAACTGTTACCAACCCAGGGAGAAATTATCACCAAATCAATACCATCACGGAGTGTATATATGACTTCACCAGATTTTTTACAGTGTAATTACTGGGTGGTAATTACCACCCTGGACCCTGCTTACATATGCAAGAACCAAATACCTACCAGTTACTCTTCCATTTCCATAACAGTTAATCGTCATAACTCTTCGCTCCGACTTGGTACATAATCAATTCCGATACGTAGAAAAATGGTCGCGTTTAATGAGCATAGGGCGGATTTGTATGTACTTAAATTCCGCAAAATATGTATATAATATGTACTAATACAACGCCAAAATATGCACGAAAAAAATATTTTGCAACCGAAATTTTCTACTACATATACTTGTATTTAATTTTCGAAAAGTTTCAAATTTTTAACACTCTTATTAATGAATTATTAAGTACATAGGTATTGTATTTTAATATTCATGTAATGACCCATAAAGAGATATTAGTCATATTTAGAGATTTTCTGGGATAATTTAATGGCTTGAAAAATGGGGCAAAATGGACTTGCTAGTCGTTCACACAAATTGGACTCCGTCATCAAGAAAATACAATTTTGGTCAAAATTTAACGTCTGAACGAAGAAAACTATTTTTACATCAAACAACCTCGAAATATGCATTAAAATTAAAGTATTTATATTTAGACAAAGTTCGAATATGTACGAAAATATGTATATGCACGAAAACCCTAAAATATGGAAAATATGGAAATATATGTTTGAATTTTTGAAATTATGCTTCGATGGTACCTAGTCTATTCATATAAAGTGTTACTCGTCCCGTACTTTTCAACCCGATAAGATAAAATTAAAAGGTAAGTTGCATTTTGTACATCCATTCAGTGGCTACCATCGATATCAACCGCTTTTAACTGGCCTCACTATGTCAAAAGATGAAGGAGCTTTACCATGCGCGCGCGACAATAATTTTTCACTTTTTTCGCGAGAAAAAAAATCACAAAATTTGAGTAGTGTAGAAATTCAGGGACAGCTACGATCTGGTTACCTAAACTATTAAAGTATCCCCAGAGATAGTGTCTATTTATGGTATAAAAGTTTCGGTGGTCAAAGGTCATGGAGTACTCCAGTGATGTTCGAAGCTTTCAACGTCAGAATAGCACAAAATCTCCTTCGGACCACAAAGACGTTGACCATACAAATGACGTTCTATCTTCAGCAATCAGAAAAGTACTGAAAAACGACCCACGCACAAGGGCCTTTAAGCTTAGTAAGTACCACATGATCACCCATCTGCGGAAAGACGCTAGGCTCAAACAAATTAACTCCTTCTTCAAGCGGCACGGGAAAAAAGCAAAAAAAATCTCCGTTTATCGATGAGAATTCCTTCATGACGGAAAAATTTCTGAACCAAAAAACTAGCTAATTTTACATTACATAGTCTAGAGGTTAGCTAGTTACAAAATAGAGGTTCAAATATCATCTTATCGTGGTCCATTCATGGTTTGGCGGAAATCGGCGGAATTGGGGAAAAATCGCCAAATTTCCTCGATTAAAGAGTGGAGATAGTTTAAAAAAATATTTGGTTAACGTCATGGTGAACGGGCAACATCCCCTCAACCACTCCATATAGGGTGTAAAGCCGCCGACCTTAGCGCAGAGCTCTATAGAAATAAATACCTCGAAATTCGTAAAAAACTGGATTGAAATCCATATTTCTGACTCTATTTCCACTTTAGGTTTGACCTGGCATTTTCGAACCGAAATCGATGTCAACACCAAATATTGATTAAAGTCGAGGAAAAGGTCTGTTCTTAGCCCCATATACGCGTCAGCGTCACAAAAAAATTTCTGACCCGGGAATGTGACAATTTGTCAATAAATTTCGTTCGTGCCGCGGCGGGTGCTTGGCGTTCTCGTCTTCAAAAGTTTGTCGGCATGTGGGGGTAAATTTTGAAGTGTGACACATGTTTTCTGTTCTAAATTTAACTGGCTTTCCAATGAAATAAAAATGAAATCTAAATTTCCAAAAATGAAAGCGTTCGACGCGTTTACACCAGTAACACTTTATCTGAATAGACTGGGTATACGAAGTTTTAGTATGGGTATGAAAAAGTTACAGAAATACATACATAGAAATACATACATATCCGCCCTCTGGTAATGAGTCCCAAATCTTAGGAGGGGAGCTTGCGAGGTTGATAATAACAGATCCTGATGCCCTTTGGATATGTGGTAGGGTCCCATGAGTGTACTAAAACCCTGAAGTGGTTTAACTCCATGGCCACATTTGCGCCCGCCACACCCACTCAAAAATACCCAAAAAACGCTTTCACACCAGTTTTCACTCACTCAAATCCACGCCAAAAATCCAATTTTGCTCGGATTTTGAAATTTCTTTCACCATTATACTCCCAGATAGTTGTTTTCTTCAATCCAATATCAAACTCAATATTTTCGAAATTTTTAGTATTTTTAAAATTTAAAATTCTGAATGAGCATTGTTGTAGTAATCAACAACGCAAATTATGCCTGCGAAAAAATCATCAGCAAAATTGAGTTTGATATTGGATTGAAGAAAGCAACTATCTGGGATTGTAATGGTGAAATAAATTTCAAAATCCGAGTAAAATTGGTTTTTTGGCGTGGATTTGAGTGAGTGAAAACTGGTGTGAAAGCGTTTTTTGGGCATTCTTGTGTGGGTGTGGCGGGCGTAAATGTGGCCATGGAGTCAAACCACTTCCTGGGTTTAGTACACTCATGGGACACTACCACATATGCAAAGGGCATCAATATCTGTTATTATCAACCTCACAAGCTCCCCTCCTTAGCCCTTACATAAAGGGTGTTAATAAAGTCCGATCCCATGCATTTTTTGGAGCGTGGTTGTTACAAATTCAGCTGGAACTTTTGAACCAGTGAAGTTATTTATTTCAAATTTTTACCATGGGAGGAACAACTAAACGTGTAAGTCATGAGCATCTTAGAGTTGAGATACAAACATTGCATCAGCAGGGGCTTAAACCTACAGAAATTGTGCAAAAATTGGGCTGCAGCCGCAGAACTGTTTGGAAATGGAAGAATAAGATTTTGTCCACGACAAAAAGCGACCAGGGCGACCCGGAAAGGTGTCACCTACCACAAAAAGAATGATTAAAAACAGACTTTGCAAGAAAACCGGTAGTTCATTACGTAATTGAGCAAGGGAGTTAAATGACTCAAAACGCTATAAAGAGAAGAAGAACCAAATTAACTGTGTGACCGTGCAAAAATTTGTGAAAACTACGAAGTGGGGTCACACAGCTTACAAACTAACCAAAAAAACCTCTCATGTCACAAAAATATATCGATGACCGTCTGAAATTTGAAGAACTCCTTCAGAAAAGTGCCCATTTGAGTGAAAAAAGACTTGGTGAAGAATTGCGCAGTCACATCCTTTGGACTGACGAATCTATTATTGAACTATATCCAAAATTGAACCAACAAAATGTTCGTTACAGGACAGAAAACAAATCGGATGTACCATCAAGAGCGATCCCAAAATTCGGGCTTAAAGTTATGGTAGCGGGTGGATTTTGTGCACGTTGCGTGACCCCTCTACATATCATACCAAAAGGCCAATCAGTCAATGCAAAGCATTATATGGAAAAAATATTACCTATCTATTTCGATAGCATGGGGAACAAGGAAATATTTCCGAATGAAAGAAAAATAGTTTTCATGCAGGATGGTGCTATAGCCCATACAGCAAAAGCGAGTTTGAGTCTCATCAAGACGCAAGTTTCAACGGTCTGGAGCAAGGGGGTGTGGGCCGCTAACGGCCCAGATTTGAATCCCCTGAAGAACCAGTGGTCCATACTTAAGGAAAATGTATACAAAGAGCCACAACCCCGGACGAGGGAAGAGCTAGTAAAAAAAAGTTCAAGATGTATGGAATTCGATTTCCAGAGGCACATTGGAAAAATTAGCACAGAGCCTTAAACAAAGAGTTGAGGGCATGGTTAAAGTAAATGGTAACAAGACCAAATACTAAGGTAAATATGTCGAACATTTTTTGTAAGTATCACGGGTAGTTTTTTTTTATACTAGCCTTCACTTTTTTACAGGAAAAATGGGATCGGACTTTATTAACACCCTGTACATACAATTCAGTACAGGTGCACCAAACCTCACATCAGCACCAAATATGTACTTGGTCCACATCCACTATCTATTCCGTGCAAATACGATTACTAATGCGATGATAATACACTCGTATGTAACTCGTAAAAATTGAGCCGGATAAACGGATTACTGCGCAGTGCATGGCTCCCATTATTAACTGATAATGAGCCACGTCGCTAGATGAGATCACGTCACGCTCACAGATAACTCACATTCATTGAAACGTGCATATATTAATCACAATATCAGAGACCAACTTTTCTCACTCAACCATATATGTAAATGTGATCACTGGCGTAAATAGGGGTAGGTGGGGGAGGTCCTACATATCGGCCCCCAAGATGAGACGGCCCTTGGCCGTCGGACGCTTGTGTGTATATATTATTGGATTATTTTCATTGACGAATAAAATATTTAGAAACAGGAATTATTAGTTGAATTAATTTACGTATATACTGGTAAATCTGAATCTGTTACCATTTCTTGCACTTTTGCAGGTTGTTTTTAGTTTACACAAAAAACATTTATAAACAGGCTGTATGATACATATACTCGGACTATAAGTTCCTGCAAAATGCAAATGCATTTCTGCTGATAATTAACAAAGTATTAGATCTGTTTGTTAGAAATTTTTATGGATGATCAAGGCATTAATATTATTTAGAAATCATAACTTCGTTTTCAATATTTCGTGCACGGGCTTGAAAGCAAGACTTAAGACACAGAGGCTGCTTGATCGCGGCATGCGAGTTTTTTCATGAGAAAAGTGTTTCAGACTTTTCATCGTTGGAGAGAAATTCAATAGAAAAAATCGACAACTTATTTATCTATATTTAGATGTCTGATATCCATTTAGGTATGCGGAAGTTAATACGAAGTCACCACCATCGGGTGAATTGGATCGAGTTGGCTGGAGAAGCAAATCTCTGTTTTTTTGCCGCAAAGGTTAAAATTTGTAGCCAAGAATTATTTGCCAAACGTCCAAGGACCAATTTTTAAACCCATGAACTCTCCGATAACCAACATAGGTCCTTTGTACTAAATTCTGCTCCTGCAAATGGCAGAAAATTGCCATTTTCTTTTCCAATTTGAGTTTGAGCAAGGAGATTTGTTCACCTTGTAAGGGCGTCGATTTTTCGAAAAACGGTAAGCGAAAACTTTTTGGGAGGCTGGACGGTTATTGGGGATGCCAGTCCCTGTAATTTAGATATTGATCTAATTAAAGCGGAATTAGTTCAAGATATGTTGGAGAACGAGCAACACTGCATCTCGATAATTTCAAGTTCTCCACAATTTTCCTTTGTGACAATTCTCCTTGGGAAAAATGCGTAAGGAGGTGGTCGACTTCGCGTGTCGATTTCTTTGGCATTTGTTGACCGATTTTTGTTAATCAAACGTCTTATTCACCCCAAACCACTATATTTGCAGAACAAAATTTCGGAAGTGCAAAAAACCTTATCCGTCCATGAGTTTGGATAGTTTTTCTCACTGCAAATAGGATCTGTGATCCTGTAATGCTTTGTGAATTACCACCAGAAATGCATTTGCGAGAATTTATGCTCCGAGTCTGTATATTGATTAGAAAAATTACAGTGTAGCATTAAATTTCGTAGCTATTTAGAATTTAAAAAAATTGCCTCCTACTTGTAATAGTTCATTTAGATTTAGGCCCCCATATCCAGCTCACATACCGGCCCCGAATCAATAGTTCCGCTACTGAATGTGATCCAGACACCTTGATAAACATCAATACGACCTCGCCAGTTGCATAAAAAGATACATTTAAAAATGCATATAACCAATGGATGATCCCGTGGAACGGTGCTGATATCCAAGTACAGAGATACGCTGACTAAACCTCCGCGTTGTGAGGAGATTTGGCAACTGCACTGTCACACGCTATTCTATAGCTAAACAGCTGCAGAGTTGCGTCGTTGAGGAATTTTGTTGGAAATATATATAACAATTTACGAAAGTTCCTTCGTAATTTGAAAATAGTGCCGAAAATCTATCACTTCCGATTAAGGTGTGGCTTCTAAATAATTAACTTGTCAGCAATGGGTGAATTGACTGGGTTCCAATCATTACCGGTAAGTTTCACCAACTCACAGTCATAATTTAATTAATTACACAGATAAATTTTACCTAGGTGGAGATGCAGTATCAGATATTTTCTTATTTGGACTTACCCTCTCATCTCAATATCAGGAAGGTCTGTCGACAATGGAACCAAATGATTATTGAACAGGAAAAAATGTACTCTACTTTTGTAATCAAAATTGATCATCAAAATGGATCAGATCCAGCATTGTCTAGTCTGGTGGGATGGCAAAATTTAAGGGTAGTGGGATTACAAAATAAAGTCTCGGTAAATGCAAACTTCATCAAAACTCTCCTGAAGATAGAAACGTTTCGAAAAATAGAGTTCAAAGAGTGTGGAATCTGGTGGACTTATCTACTACATAAATTTGCGGGACATCCTACCTGGACAGATTTGGTGATCTATGACTGTTTCGCAGTCAAAGAATCTAAGCGCCAGTGTCCATATAAGATTTCCTCAAACTCTGAGAAACGGCTCACCTGCAGGTTGAAGAGGAGTAATATGAATGCATTCATGGACAGCATAAATTATGTCGAGCTACAGTTGATGAGTCTTAACGTGCAGAAGCCGCTAAACGGAAAGTGTCCACAATTAAACATGGCAAAATATAGGGAAAGTCTGCATTTACTCATCCAAAGGTGTCGATTCTCCCTGAAGGAGTTGAACGTTTATACAGAAGGACTGCAAGGCTGCCATAATTTGGCCGAGTATTTTAATGATATGCCTCTGGAAAAGTTGCGGCTTCCTGTCCTCAACGATCCTATATTCGCCACTGACGATTGTCTTGCCAAAAAGCTAGACCTAAAGGAGGTGATATTACCAAAGCTGATGAAGTCTAATCTTAGGTCTTATGCACCATTTCTGAAAAGTATTGTAGAAAAGATTCCCAAAACGGTTACGGTAGTTAGGATGGAATCTGTTGAGTATATGATACCCGGCTTTTTTGAGGCTTTCCCATCTTTGACAAAATTCCATTGTTGCTTCAGCCTTAAGGAGTATTTAAGTGGGGACCCGTGCCCAAGCATGCGCTCACTGTGGTGTAATATGCTAGACATAAATGATAGAAACCAAGTGAAAGTTAGGTTTCCAGGGTTGACAGAGTTCGAGTGGAATCATAGAAAATTTATGTAACTGCACATTCTGCTAGTTTACTTTTGATTATATTCATTAACTTTTATTTAGAGCATCATGATCAAAAATATATGTACATGTACATGTCAATAGTAATTTATGACAATACCAGGTCAATCGTGTAATTGCAAATATTCCTAAATCTTTTTGTGTCAGAATTTCCTACATAAATTTCCTCATCAAAGCTAAAAAAAATCCCTTAACACCGTTAAAAGTCCTTAAAGATTTTCAAAAAAATTCTTAACAACATCAAAAAAACCTTTGCACGGTTAACAAAATTCATTAGCAATATTACAAAAAAATCCGTAGCATCGTTAAAAAAACAAATTAAAAGTATATTAGTTTGCTTCACTTATTGGTTCTTGGCAAATTCCGTTACCCTCTAAGAAACCTAACTAAGTTATTACCAGGCGGAGTATCTATGTGACTCTACCACATGGTAATTAATTAATGTATTATTGAGTGGTAGACATTTTGTTACCAACCTGGTGATAACCCCGGTCGCGAAATTTGAAAATAATACCAGTTGGTAACTAATTTTCTACCACTGAATAATAAATAAATTACCATGCGGTAGAGTCACATAGATACTCCGCCTGGTAATAACTCAGTTACCGGGTTTCTTACAGTGCATCAAAATCAATTTACAAAATAAGCTAAAGACTTCATGGAGAATAGATCATCGATACCATCATGTACTTCCGTGGTTTGTTCTTACACTTATATTTTATAAGTCATTTTGACGCGTTGGCTCGAAGTTTGAAACGCGGCCCGTCTATAGGACGGGCTTGTAGGCTAGTTAATATATGATTAATATGTAATGATGTAGATACATATTTATTTCAAGGTTGATATGGCGTTAGCCTTTACAATCACAATTGTGGAATATAATTATATTGTATGAGACACGTGAGTCTTACAATTAGCCTAGAGTAATATTATGTATCCTATTTAACCTATGCATATTACTATTAAACCCACATATTATTTAAATTATGTTCCATAGATTTTTTTATTTATCGTGTTGAATGACAACTTTAAACTGATCAGGTTGCAGAAATTTCTCCTGATTCTATTACAGCTTTAAAAAACAGATAGATATCCATAATTATTGATTCATCCAGCTCAGTATATAATGTGATGTAATTGAATATAAAAGTTCTATGAACGTACTATTTCCCACAAAATTTATTAAGACGACACAATCTTGCTCTCCTTCGTTTAACCCATGCTTTATTCCAGTGATAATGGGTGCGATACCATAATGTTAAATGTATGTAAATCCAGTTTTAATTAGATAATCCAGTTTTAGTTAGATAATCCAGTTTTAGTTAGATAATTAAATCGTTTTAGTTTAATAGAGCCGGATGGTCTTATGACCCGGCTAGTCGTGAATTGGAGTTTGTGAGTTAACGATCTACTTGCGTTAATAAATCTAAATCGATCCTGTGAGTGGACTTTGCTTTGTTCATCCTTTCCCCACAAATGGCCAAATTCCACTGCAAGCGCAGCAGCGCATCTTAGGTCCTAACAATATTATCTGTATCTGATAATAAAATAGCAGACAGGGTTGAGTAAATAAAAACTTAATGAACGTAACTTTGGTAGCATGCAAATTCGAATGATTTACAACTACTACAGAAGAATGAAAGGAAAATGTACTCATCACACTGCGCACATTCATATGGGATATCACGCCCAGATGTTGACGACCATAAGTCCGACGACCAGGACGAGTCAGCATTACCGATTTCCATATCCTCAACGCCTTGAGGAGCCGCATCGGCAACACGGACTGGATATGTGGCAGCAGGCTCACAAGGGAACATACCGATGTGTCAAACGTGTTGAGGGTCGAGACCTACACCAAAATGACCAAAATACATGACTTGTTAGACAAACTGAAGGAGTTTCCGTGTAAAATTCACTTTTCGTCACGTTGTGACGATACTTGTGACGAGCGCATGACCATCGGGTTGTCGGGAGAGGCCTGCCGCTTAACGATCAGGTCAAGCAAATGTTGTGTTCAGCGATTTCATTTTTTTAATACAATTTCTAAAAGTTTGGACACCTATTTATTTTTTAAATATTGCACACAATTTGGTCAATATCTCAAGTTTTTGAAACAATTCATAATTTTTTAAAAATTCTAATTTTTTTTTCAAAATTTTTAAAATTTCTCCAAAACGTGAAATTTGTTTTCAAAATTTCAAAAATTCTTTCAAAATTTCGTTGTTTTCAATATTTCATAATTTTTTAAAAACTCGGAGAAAAATGAAATCTCTGAAGACAACATGTGCTTGACCTGATCGTTCAGCGGCCAACCTCACCCGCTGGCAACCCGATGGTCATGCGCTCGTCACAATCAATTGACTCGCACCAAATGCATGACCGAGTCCTCGAAACCAATGGTGCTACTATGTATGTATGTATGTCTTTATTGCATAAATAGCCATTAGCTCTTGCAAGTTACAATCGTGAGTTAGTTACAGATAAATTTTAGATAAATATAAATTTTAGATAAATGCTACTATGTAATTTGGTCAATAAATGGCATGATCGCACCAATTGATGCAAAAAGATCGTTTACACAGAGACTGACGGACGGACAAGAGGAATTCAATAGCTCTCATGCTGTGCAGGGCGAGCTAATAACTCTGATCCTGCGAAAAGTCAGACACGAACTACTAAATTATGCGTTCTGAACATTAAAATTGGCATAAATCTATCATCAGAAAAATGCAGCGTATTACATATCTGTGCAAGAGCACTATACACGCATACATATGATCTGCTGACTCAAGGTAGCATGATAATTAGAGGTAAATCAACTATTGTCTGCTTACACAATATGTCACAGATTAGAGTCATAACTTGTTCATCCTTAAGTAAATTAAATTAATTAAATACTCATAAATTTACCCTTAATTGCACACGGAAGTATGTACTAAAAATAACACTTTCTTGGTCCAACTTGAAAATACATAATTTAAAATGTTGAAACAATCAATTACCACCATTCTAACAAGATTATCGACATCTTTGTTCCACCTTCTAATCTGCTGAAACGACGGTAATCAGTCAACGAAATTGCACTTCAAGGTTTCTCTACAAGTTAGAGTCAATTAGAGACCACACGGCTTCTACGCACTGGCCGCGGAAGCATAGAAGGGGACATGGGGACAATGTCCCCAAGATTCCTTCATGTCCCCATAATCTGCCCATGTTATGTAGACTCTAGCCTCTCCTACATATCCTGCAATGTTAATGTCCCCAATGGTCTCCCCAGCTTCCTCGGCCACTGCTTCTACGTTGCAGGAAAACTATTTAAATTTTTCATTCTACCAATAGTCTCGCCTTATAAAATTAAGCAAAACAATCTAACAAGCTCTTAGAGTATGTAGCACGCATATGTAAGTAAACATTTTTATATAAATACTTATTCAATAGCTTCGTATGTATGTTGGCCATTCTGGTTTCAGCCAAAGACCGAGAAACATTGCATCATAATTATTCTGAAAAGTTACAGGAAAACGCAAGTCAAAAGGTAAATTCTTAACTACAGTGTGGTTTAAATATCACGCTACAAAGGACAATTTTTCAGTAGGATAAATTCGTCAATTTCCGCAACTTACAATGGAACCTCTTATCAAGCTACACCGGGATCGACTAGTGAGTTATGTCAAAAAATCAAGCCAAAAATTAGGAGTCACGTGACACTTCTCTTTCCGTTGAATGGCCCCTTTAAAGAAAAATATTGGGGGTCAAAGTTCGAACTTCTCCCTGGTTTTCGCCCCGTGGAGGAAAAAGCAAGGGAAAATTTGCTCAAAAATTGAACTTAACCGCCAGTATTTTTCTTCAAAGGGGCCATTCAACTGAAAGAGAAGTGTCACGTGACTCCTAATTTCTGGCTTGATTTTTTGACATAACTCACTAGTCGATCCCGGTGTAGCTTGATAAGAGGTTCCATTGTTAGTTACCGAAATTTTGTCAATGAAATTTAATATTAAAAAAATTTTGTCATCAGTTTTTATAATAATTAATAAAAATCCCAAATCTTGTAAACACATTTAAACACGACATTTAAACCACCCTGTATTAGGGCATGTAATCTCGATATCGGTTTCGGTATTTCGGTATTCAATATTCAAATACCGAAATATTGATATTTCGATATTACAATACCGAAATTGGCATCTTGCAATTTATGAATTTATTTAACTAATATAACACTTTCGAATCAACGTAACCCCTTGGAATTCAAACTTTGGGGTGCAACCAGGTCAAAAATCAATTCTTGAAACATTGGGGGTGTAACCAACTCAAAATTTAGAAACAATAATATCGAATTTTGACTTGGCCATAGCTCTACCTAAAGCTTCTACCTTGGGGTTGTAACTAAGTCAAAATTAAGTTGTGGGAACTTTGGGGGTGTAACCAAGTAAAAATTTGATTTTGGGAACTTTGGGGGTGTAACCAAATCAAAATTCGATTTTGGGAACTTTGGGGGTGTAACCAAGTCAAAATTCGATTTTGGGAACTTTGGGGGTGTGGCCAAACAGAGAATAAATTTTGAACTTTGGGGGTGTGACCAATTCGAAATTCAATTAGGGAAAATTGTAGGGTGTACCCAAGATAAAGTTTAATTTTAGACGCTTTAGGTAGAGCTATGGCCAAGTTAAAATTCGATATTATTATTTCTAAATTTTGAGTTGGTTACACCCCCAATGTTTCAAAAATTGATTTTTGACCTGGTTACACCCCAAAGTTTAAATTCGAAAGGGTTACGTTAGTTCGAAAAGGTTATATTAATTACACAAATTCATAAAGTGCGCGATTCCAATTTCGGTATTTTAATACCGAAATATCGGTATATCGAGATCCCGAAATATCGAGATTACATGCCCTACCCTGTACATAAACGTAGAATCACATATTTTAAGGTTGTTAAAATTTTCAGATGTCGGCTACTCGTCACTTAATTTGTCTCGGGATTTTACTCGCTTTACTCTGTTGCGCAGCCCACAGCGCGATTATCTGCAGTCCCGCATGCCGAGCGGGATACACGTGCCGTTGGAGTGAACAACGTGGTAATGGAGTTTGCAAAATTAACAGCAATTGTGCAGACTGTGTGTACGCGGGAGGAGGTTAGATGTACTTAAGTTTTTTTTCAAGATATGTAATAAAATTTCAAGAGAAATACATAATTGGGTCTTTACGATGTTTATAAGTTAATAATCACTTTCCGATTCCATACTTATTTAGATTTCCTATTAGATAAACTGTCCTATTATGCATTAGAAGCGTTCTGATTTTACGGCTTTCCGGACATGAAATAAAGTATGTATCTGTACCAATCTGATTGTTCTGTTCGTCTTATTTTTTCTGATCATTCACGACTACTCTAGCCTAATAAAATGCAAGAAATTTTGTTCTTTTTATATTTCATTAAATTAAAATAATTTATGCAGATTCAATTTCCATATCTACATAAATGCATGTATTGTCAATTTTTATGTTAAATATTGTATCCAAAATCAAATATGGTTGTAAAAGGAACATTCCAAGATTTCTAAAATATCACATTGGTCTGGAGATGAACTTCAAACTGGACACCAAGGTTGTCACCACGGTGACCAAGCTTCCGGTAGAGTCACATACATACATATGTACTCCGTTCTGGTATTGATTTAGTAATAATTCCTTACCGGTTTGGTTATAGTTTGATTCTGAGTGGTTTTGATTTGGTTTTGATTCTGAGTGGATTCTGAGTAGTTTACCACTACGCCGTAACGATCGATATTACCGATGCCGGTAGAGTCATATCTTTATGTACTATTTCCGCTAATGATTCGTAATGATTCAATACCAGTTGCCTTAGAGTGTACCAATGATGTGTTTATCTCGCACTTGTAATGAGCTGTTCATGAATTCGTTAATAAATGAACTTACATACACGATCTCAACTCACTCACTACTAATGAATATGCCTGAGAAGCTTCTATCCCATTGATATTAAGTACTAGCGTATAAGCCCGTCTTCCGCCGGGCGATAAGTTCCACACCTTGAATACCAGTCCGCACCGGAAGTAGTTAAATTAAGATTAACTTTCTCCACTTTCACTTCCGTTTCGGAAAATTACTTGCACTTCCGTTGCAGACAAACATTTCCAGCTTATAATATAGAAGATAGTGCATTTAGGTCACATAATATAAATATTTGTAGATATGTATAAATAAGTATGTATTATCACACATTATCACTATTTATCACATTATTAAAAAACATCAGGGGGGTGGAATTATAGGAGCCGCCTCATTCAAATTAACAACACCACTTCTTCCTCACATAAATTATATATTACATGACCCTATTTAATTATAATTATAATTTTAGTATGAAGTGTACATGCATAACTAGTGCACTATTTATGCACATTATTCATGCAAATTTATGCATATTTATGCAAATTGTCAAGATTATGTAGTCTACCATTAATTGGATATATTTTATGGTTATGCACATTATCAATTTATTTTCCACGTAACACAAAACAACATTATCCCAATCCCGGGTCCATATTGACATAAGTATATCCCGACTTTTCAATATACGCTTTAATTCTGGGGATAGAAAACACCGCATTTTTGAACATCTTGAGGTTCGGATATCCCTCAAGAATTGTAGAGTCGATATCTCCTTCCAACATCGCGAGCTTATCAGCAACATTGATATCAGCCCAGGTAAGCTTTTTCCCAACGAGAAAATCCCCACCATTCTTTTCTTTGATAACTTCCAATTTCGCGAGGCAGTTTGGAATCAGAGTTGAAACGAATTTAGCCTTTCTTTCAACCTTTCGCGCCTCGTCAGGTTCCAGAAATTTAAATCCGATCCATTCTAACAAATTAATTGGGAAGTACTTTAGTAGAAAATTAATTGGGTAAAATTCTTTTCGACAAATACTTATGGCATAATTTTATATGCCAAGGAATTGATTTAAATCAATTCCTTGGTTGCCTTATTTCTTGCCCTATAATATTTTACGAAAATTTTCATAATACAACGCAACCAATAGAAGATTATAGGCGACGGTGACGATAAACATTTAAAAATCATCATTTCAGAACGAAAATTCCAAAATTCGAAAAAAATTAGAATGATACATACATAATTCGTTCACTCATGGTTGTGTAAAATTTAGGTTAAAACAACAACTGGTTCAAATTTATTGAACCATTGACTAAAATTTATGCAATATTGCATATTAAGCGTCGTAATTTTGTACAAAATTTATCCAGTTATTGTTTTGCCCTGAGTTTTACTCAATTTTTTGTACAGTGTTGTATGGTTATGAATTTTTGGGGAAAAATTAGTTTCTTAACAACTCTGTGTGCAAACTTTTATACCCTCAATCAAATCGTTAGTGGCGTCCACATACTCATCACATTTTGCATCTTCCCATGCAGTTTCGCCACAAAGATTGAAAGTGTGACCGAGGTAGCGACAAATTGTGGAAGTCTGTGCGAGCTGTTGTCCATCCACCTCCAAAATTGGGAGTTGACCCCATGGCGTGCCTGAAAAATGTCAGGATTAAAAAATAAAATTTTTGAATGAAATTATGTATCAAATATATTTATTTTTGAAAATACAGGATGGTTTAAATGTCAGGTTACAATGGAAAATTTCACAACGTAAATTTCCATTAGTTACGGATTTAGGATTAAGATTTTTATTAATTTTTATCAAAACTTATGGAACACTGATGACGAAATTCTTAAAACATTGAATTTCAGACGCAAAATTTTGGTAACTAATGGAGATTTGTGAATTCTTCCTTTTAAAAAATTTTCCATGGTAACCTGACATTTAAACCACCCTGTATGTAAATATGAAATAAATTTGTGAAAATAAACCTACCCGGCTTGTATCCGGGCCAGTCGGCCGATTTAATAATGACGTCCTCATATTTGACATCGAGAGCAGAAAATATCAACCGGAATGCTTCAGCTCTGCCTTTTATTCCAAAATATATTATTTTGTAAGTCATTTCGTAATTGGGTTGAAGTTCGGGAATTTTGAGGAGGATCTAAATCCAGCTGAATGAAAGTGTCGAGTAAGACTGGGGAATAAATGTGTGGTTGCAGATTTATTTATAAATAGCCAGTAAATACGAGACATGTTTTACGAAAGTCCAGACACATCTCTCAAGGTCAACAATTAAGTGATGGTTGCAAAATTATGTACGTGATACAACCTCACATGTTCAGGGTTTCGTGTTAGACGTTATAAATCATTTTTGGACTTGGGGGCCGTTCATAAATTACGCAACGCAAGAGGGAGCAAGGTGGGGTTTAAGGCTCCAATGATATCGTTCCTATGTTGCATATGTTGAAGGGGGGAGGGGGTCTAGAAAATTACGCTTTTGCGTTACGTAATTTATGGATGGCTCCAAGACGCCCTCCAAAAGTGTCCAAACTGTGCAAAATAATTTTAACCGTGCAAAATGGATTCAGTATGAGGCAACATATTACGAACAACGTTAATGTATAAGCTACATTTACATATTGCAAATATATGCAAATGCATATATGTCATTCTCAATTATGCAATTTTGGGCATTTTAGAAAAAAATTTAAATGGGCTCTTTAGAGAAACTAGGAAATTATATAAACTGTACCGTATTGCTCTACAAGATATTTAATACGAATGTACTATTGTAAATATAGGGTGTCTCCTTAATTTGATCACCTTTTTCTCTATAAAAAAGAAAATGCTAATTAGTCACCATTAATACAAATCACCCGATTATCGAAAAAATCAACAAAAAATAACTTTTTGATTCGTTTTTGAGTTTTGAAAATTCAAAATTTGGGACATATCGGTCAAACATAGGTTAAAACCGCTTTCCGCACAGTTGTTTTGCACAACAATGATTAAAACCACAGCGGAGAAACCCCAATCTCGTAGCGTCGAGGGGATACAAAAAAATACAGAGTTGATCAAGTGGATTTGAGCAAATAAATGTATCTACATACTTATCTACATATTAATTACTTATTAAGAACCAGTTGAACTTTATTGCGCAATTTATCACGTATTTATGTAAGTGCCATGTGGGGATTTTACTTGTCAACTATGTACATATTTAGTTGCGATTCTGCAGTGTCATCATCACACTGTCATGTTAAAGTTGTACACAATTAGTAAAGTGTTAACAAGTGAGTGATTCCAGAGATATGAATACATACCACCAAATGCAGAGTTTTGTATGGGGCCATATCATTTAATTAAAATCAATTTAGTGAAATAAAAAATGACAATTGTTTGTGTGGCCTTGGTTGCCAAGCAGGGAGAAGTATTTAGTATGCAAATGCATTCTAAAGACATATATTCGGAGTGACAGGAAAATGTATGTACATACAGAATGTAATCCAGTATTTGAATTTCCATCTAAATAAATAAATTCTTATTTATGAATAAGTCAAAGGAAATATTCCAACCAACTCCACTAGATAGGATATATTTTGAGAGTTAACTTGCTAATTTATTTGACAGATAATTTGCATATAATTTTACAGATAATTTGACTGATATACTTTGGTCGACCTCGGTTCAACATAGAGGCCTGCTCATCATTCTTCGTCCTGCTCACGGCTCCCTAAGGGTCCAATCTTGCCCTGAAAGGGTCCTCGTTCATATTCTGATCGTTTGTTCTTATCCGTGAGTCGGCTTACATCCACGTACCATATTTCGTCTTTGAATTCAGCAAATTCAAAGGTCCCCCCAAATATGTACAGTCTCTTTAGCTTTTCCGCGTAAAACGTGGTAGTCAAGATTAATCTTTCTGAAGGACCACCACTAGTGCCGGAAACATCGATAAACGCCGTTTCATTTCGACGAGTGTCATAGTAATAAAACCCCGTCCGGTAACTTCCATCTTCCTCCGCGTATGTCGAAAACAAGTACACGTTTCCCTTACTGTCTCCTGCCGCTGAGAACGCGCTCCCCCTCCATGCACCCATCCTGGGTGTTTGCACCAGTTGAGTTTTGCCTCTTTTTATGTCGTATTCCACAGCGACATCGTACCTGTTGGATTTCATGAGAATATTGAGTAACAATAAACTGATAATGCAATAATGCATTCCCCGTCGGCGCGCCAACCGAGGAGGATTTGCTCTTGCACGAGCTCCTCTAATTTTATTTAATTTTATTTATTTTTACTCTAATTTAAATTTAATTTAATTGGTAATTGCTTCAAATTTAATTGGCAATGTGTGAAATTCCTTCGTTATCAAACCAAACAACTGTGTCAGTCAAAAATTGTATTTTCAAACCTTTATTTTTAAGTATTTTTACGATCAGAATTACCACGTGGCTTTTGCCAGTGTCCACTCGGTTGGTTGGGGAATCAAAATTGGTTTGTATTCAAAATTTGGTTGGTTTTTTTGTGCAATTTTTTTCCCAACATCTATAATTAAGTATTATTGTTTTCTATGTTGATAAAAATTCGAATTGGTTAATAATTGGTTAAGTTAAGTAAGTAAATTTTGTTAATTAATGTCCTAAATTTACTGACGTTACTTTTTCTCCGCGCTGAATTTGTACTGCGCAGTTGAGAACTGTTTTGAAAGTTCACTTGATAAATTATTGATTTGACGTCAATTAAAGACGGTAATAGTAATGGCTTAGATAGGATGTAAACTGTTGAAACATGCCATGTAGCTTATTTGTAGTGAAATGTTAAGCTAGAGCTACCTTCTTTAGTCTTAATCATTGTTACCTGTATCTCATGGTCATATAAATCAGTATAATAAATATTATTATTATTATTATTATTATTATAAACCGTTGCAAAAGAAATGTAGCAAAGGGGTGAAAACACACGGAATTGTCTTTGTGGGACGCCCACAACGTCTTTCAGCAGTTTCCCATCATTATCTCACATTACCCCACGTCTCATTTCGCCCCGCTTTGACACCCCATTCGCGTAGTTCTAACGTACACGACCATACCTTTCAATAGACACCCCACATGACAAAAGTCATTTTTTCGACATTCGACACCTTCCACACGGTCATGGGGTCGTCGCACGTCGAAATGATGGCGATTTCTGAAATCCCCGCTCGAAAATACGTCTAAAACGGTGGCAACAACAAATTCGCCAATTTTCGACTTTGGCGTCGTCTACACGGTCACACGGTCATGGCACGTCGAAATGGAGGCGATTTCTGAAATCTCCGTCAAAAAATACGTCTAAAACGGTGGAAACAAAAAATTCGACACATTTGACCGTTGGCGTCATCACCGTGGCGCCGTGACCTTACGACTTACTGATACAACGCCCATCTTCGAACTCATCCCGTCCCCAAAAATTAGAAAGACGTTGGCGAAAATCGGATGTCGAAATTCGAACCCGTTCTAAAGTTATCGTGGATACAGACGGACGGACGGACAGACAAGACATTTCCATAAAGGGGTTTTCACCCCTTAATAATGAGAACCGGAATCACTTCACACAAAGAAAAATTTGATTTGGATAAGATTCTCAGCGTTTGTAGAGCTGATTTTTATGAGTTCAACGGCACCAATAATTTGGAATTACTCCACCCCCTCGCTGAGTGGGAGGAGCCCAAAGTTGGAAAAATTCGCTCCGTCTGCGATTTTTAGTGCAAAGGCGGGTCAATATTTTTGAAAACGGTTTTCACTAAAAGTTTCCTAATTTTGTTCCCTACAACCGTTTTTGACTGGTTTTTGAAATTCGCAAAACGACATGACATTTAAACCACTCTGTACAAACGTGTTTAATTGGAAGAGTTCAAGAGTCATCGTCTCCTTGAATTTAATTTAATTAAATAAGCCACCGAACTGCGACTGGCCTGATAAGTTTTTATTACTTTTTATAGAGAATATCTTTCACTGGGTAGGCGACTGGCATATTCTACAAGTACCTGTTTGGGTGCATCCACGTGCCAAAGAACAAAATCGATCTGTCCCTTTTCACCAGGGCACAGCCTCCCTTGAAGAAATCTTGGTACCCTTCTAGAACCGGCAGTGTCACTTCCCTCGTGATGTTTAAACCGCTCGTACTGAACTCGTAGATGGAAGGACCTTTGATCGATCCTCCATGGGTGACAAGGTACAAGGTATTCCGAGCACGATTTTTGTGTTGAGGAAGATTTAGGTACATTCCACGGCTGTTTCCTTCGGGAAGAGTGCCCACCACGCTCACCTCGGCTTCCCTACCTAATTAGATTAGTTTAGATGCTTATAAAAAAATACTAGTGTATAAGCCCGTCTTCCGCCGGGCGAGAGCTTATTATTTATTTTCGCAAAAATTAAGTCGGATTGTTCATAATTCAAGCAAATCATTTTTTACTTTTATAATTAGGCAGAAATGCCTGTTGGCGAGGGAAGTGAAACTTTCTCCATTTTTACTTCCGTCACTGAAAATTACTTTCACTTCCGTTGCAGACAAACATTTACAGCTTATAATAAAGAAGATATTGCTTTGTGTGTCATGTGTGTAAACGAATTTTTAATGAACTGACATCTGTTGACACGTAAATAAATGATTAACATAAATATAAACATACCTTCCCGGAACTTGTAGATATAAGAAGAGTCATGCAAATATCCCCTTCCTCCAATGACGTAGTGATTTCCTTTCCCATCGCTGCCTGCGAAGGGTCTCTCTACCCCTTTAAGTAACTCTCCCACAACTTCGATAGTGTCTCGCGATAAAGAGTACTTTAGTATGTCCTTGGCGCATGCACTTCCTCCAAGGTACCCTCCAATTATGTAGACCGTGTCGGTAGCCGTGCTTTCGCGAGCTGCGCGGGGATGACGACGCCCTCCGCTCTTAACATGAGGAGCGTTACGAGAATTAGAAAATATGTCATGTTGAACATTGTGTGGCCAGAAAAGAAGTGGACAGAATTTATGCTTATGTTCTTGAACTCATACATAGGTGACAACTTTATTCCAACGATATCAATTGACGTCAAAGTTGTTAATTTTATCACAAAAATTAAACCACTCAATGATTATACAAATTTAATTGATTTATTGCATCATAGCCAACACCCTTTGCACATTGTGAATGGTTACGTAATATTGATAATCGTAAAATCGTAAAAATAGATAAAAATTAATTATTGGTCGGAACATAGGTCAAAATATTTGTCGACTTTCCATGATTATATCCCACAATGGGATTCCCACTTAAAGTTGAAGGACTGATTTAGAGTTGAGTCTGTTATCGGAATTTTGGGTAAGGTGTGTAACCAAAACGAAGCCGAGTCATTAAATAGGTTTGGATAGGATGAATAAATCAGAATAAATTCGTTCGCTGTCGGTTCGGTTGCATATTTGTTTGAGTCAAAAATTCGGTTTCGGTTCGATATTATTTTTCCGAACGTTTGGGTCGGTTGGAATTTTTACGATTGGATTTCTTTGCATATGTTATTTACTTTATATATAATTCTACAATTAATGTACATTAAATTGGGCTTTTATATATATGCTGCAAATGTGAATTTAACTTAGCAATGCAAATTTTTAAATCGGTAATTTCATATTTACTGTTTAAACAGGATTGTAGTTTTTTAAATATTACATACATATACAGTGTAACCTGATGCTTCCCTAAAAAGAGGTGGTGCCGGAAATATGCTCATGTATTGTGGGAGAGCAGTGACGAGCCGACTAAAAAACTCTTACATTTACAGAAATATATTTATTAACAATTAGAAAATTTAAGTATTTACAAAGAAGTATGTACATGTCATGCAGAGTGCATGAAAAAGTGAATGTAGGAGTCAAAAGCTAAATCCTAAGTGAAGTAAATTTTATATCTTAGGGAGAATGAAGAGAGAATCTAATTATCTGGTGTCTCTGTTACATCCTGTAGCAGAGACACCCTTATCTCTAGAGAGAAAAACTCCTGCCTATGTCTACTAATGTCTCTTCGAGTTCTTGGTGGTCAACCAAGAACTCAAGTCAATTAAATATTCATGGATATTTATTTTGAAGGACATATCCATCCAGGTCGTTGATCAGACGAGCCTGGGTGGATATGCAACAGATATATTGCGTAATTTAGAATGCAGGTAAGAGATGGATTTTACTTGTCAAATAGTTGCGATTGTGCACTGGCATGTTACAGCTGTACACAAATAGTGAAGTGTGAGCAATTGAGTGATTGCAGAGACGTGTATACCAGCAAACGCAGAGTTTTGGATGGGGCCATATCATTTAATTAAAATCAATTGAGTGAAATAAAAAATGACAATTGCTTACGTGTTTGTGTGGCTTTGGTTGCCAACCAGGGAGAAGTATTTAGCAGGCAAACGCTTGCTACAAACACATATGTATTCCGAGTGGCAGGAATATGTACATAATTCAATCAAGTATTTGAGTTTCCAGTTAAATAAATTCTTCTTTAAGAATAAGTAAAAGCGTATCATATTCGATATCAAACTCACCTTTACTTTTTTGAAATTGCACATTTCTTTAAAATATGTGCATCAACTTAAAAATATACCCAGAAATTATCTACATATTCAGAAAATTATAAACCATAACGAAAATTACAAAAAAGGCTCAAATTTCGAATGAATATGAGAAGGAAGTTTTCGACATGTATCAAACTCCGATTTTTCACCGACTGTAATAAATTTACCAGAGTCAGTGATAAATTCATCTGTATCACCTTATCGGTAGACTCAAACACGTTTACTTTAAGGTACAAATCATGACAGTTTAGATAGCTCAATCCTACATTTATTGAAAATTTGAAATTCCCGGTGTGACTTGTGTTTTTATTCATTTTTGTTCATTTTATGCGTTCATGTGTAATTTATGCATGAAAATAATGACCGTACTCACTTCGCATATCTAACTCGCATATATCGCAAATTTAATATAGCGACATAATTTGCAAAGTTTTACGAAAGTTGCGAGATTTCGCAAAACTTTTGGTGAAAAACGACAGTAATTGAGCATGTTATTATTTCGAAAATTTATCCTCCGCATCTCCTGTCATGGAAATTAATGACATCTACATATGTAAACAACCCCAAAAAAATTTGTGAAACTTGATGAATGTAGTCTTAAGCATGCCAAATATTATGCGCACAAAAAATCACTGACTAAAATATATAGGATGAAGTAAATACAGTAAAGTTTCAATCGGATGGCTATGTATGTTTTGAGAAATTTGTGTGAAATTAAAATATATCGCACTAAACGATAAACAATAATTGTTGGTATCATTTTTCATACAAACAAAATAATCTGGTAAGAGGTCACTCATATTATCGGAGATAACTATACATCTGTGAATCTATAAAAAAAATTCCACCAGTTTGTTACCAAATTGTTAATGTATGCCTAAGTCCATCCAGGTAAAATAACATATCATTCGGGATGATCAAACCTTTTATATCGTTCCTCGTCAATGGCATGATACCGATTTAGTCATTACGCCTTAATTATTGATTACGATAGGATATTATGAAAATCTTAACTATTCATAAGTAATTTAAATAGCGCGTACTCAAATATCGGAGTGATTTATGGCATCTTCCCGACGTATGTAAATCATCCTCCCACCATGACTTATTTCAAAAGTCAAACTTTATTCTTTTTCTCGTAGGAGATAGCAATTCTTGTAGTGACATCGAGTTTGCGTCAGAGGTCGACGCCGACAAAATTTTCGGCGGCGGCGGTGCAAGTTTTTGGTGATTTTTTGGCGGGGTCGGTGGCGCGGCGTCGCAATGTTAAAGGAATAGGAAATCAAATTTTTCGGCGGCGGCGGAGCGTAAAATGCATCGGCGTATGTCGGCGCGGCGACGTGAGATCGGCGGCGTCGACCTCTGGTTTTAGTCTCGTGACCCGAATATTGTTATTGCATCATTCGTTGCAGGAATTGTTTTGAAAATGAAGGTCGCGCTTCAGAAAGGTAATTTCGTCGCATTACAACTTAATTGTTTCTCCCGACGATGTTCTCTGCCTTTTGCCGTGGGTTGCCAATTCTAATCCATATTTTTGATTTGATGCTAAATTCAATTTTGCATTACAATACATTTGAATTGATAAAATCAATTACCTCGAGTTTCAATTATGATTTTATTGAATCTTACTTTAACTCTAAACATGTTAATCTACTAGGTCTAAGAATACAACATGCAAAGCCACAATATTATTTAACGATAATATTGTGTATATAATATATAATATATAAATTTGTAGACTATCATTTCGTTTAGCAGTACTAAAATCTTCTCAGAAGATTCATATAACCTTACAATGCAACATATATCCAACCAAGGCGTTCATCCCACTCACTGCAACCTTCCCCAAGATCGTGATAAATTTGAAGTTTTCTCCTACGAACCCGGCCATCCCAACCGCAAGGGTCACCGCACATATTATGAAAGTAGGTAAAATGAACTCAAGTGATACATCGTTCAACTCGTGAAATGTGGGTTGCTCCCTCACGTTTCCAAACATTCCTTGGACAGCCTCAAAATATTTACCCTTCTTAAGCAAGAACATCTTATGCCGAATAATATACGGTATGATCTCCATTTTGGTCCACCTTTCAGTCATCCCGGACTCCAGCATGGATCTTATTCCCATCCAAAAGTAAGTACTGAATAAATTTAAATTCACAGCCTTGAAAATTATTTGTCGAAATGGTGAGTCGTCAGTATTGGTGCCCACGTAACGGTCTCCCGCGTATTTAAATATGCCCGCGTACATTTCTTGCCGATGCTTCAAAATAAATAGTGCCATCATGGGACCAGAATTTGCTGAAGGTCCTTTTTTGTACACCATGTCGTGCACCGACTTATCATTTATTGACAAGAGCTTTGACTTAACTTCTGTCAAGAACTTGACAAATTTGGGGGTTTGTCCAATCGCAGTGATTAAATTCGGAATAACACTGTCTTGAAGATAGGTTCTAAAAGTACCATCGCGCTCAGAATAATAGTCCAAGGCTACCATGGGAATATTCCAATCGACCAAATCCCTCACTCCCTTAGGAGTTTCTGGCGGAAGCAGAACTGCAAGGCCGGAATATATCGAACCCTGATAATAATTAACCATGAGGAAAAAATTCCCGAAAAACCATAGAAAAAACAGAACAAAGGCCACCTTCCCCCATTGGTAGAACCCTCCTGAGCTATCACCGGACTGGCCCAGAAATATACAGGTTACAGTAATCATCTTCTCCATGAAAGCCACAACGCAGGAAATGACATGTTTCCCCTCTCCCTCATGGATCATGGGCACGTAGACACTCTCGCTGTGTCCCCTATATGCCAGGAAAGTGAAAAACCCTGCAACAGTAATAATACTAATCAAGAGACAACACCAAGTCTCGGGCTCCAAGGGGGACAAGAAAGTGTCCACCCCACTTGCCGGGGATGGTAGGTCGGTCATTGTTAGGAAATCAATTGTGCTCAGTTCCACCTCGTGAATGATGTAATAGGGTTTATTGGCAATATATGTATAATTCGTGTATACTTGAAACATAGTCCCAAAATTTTTTTCGTCAGTTGTTTCCATTCCCATTTTGTGTTGAACTAAAGTCAAATTATACTTTTCCGTAATTGTAGCCACGGGGCAAAAAGCGAAGTCAATGATTTTATCAAGTGTTTCCTGCAGTAGGACACAGTTTTCATGCACATTTATCACAAGTACAATAATGTATTTGTGAAAGTCCTTGTTCTGAACGTCCCAAGCTTGACGTATACCCGTTGACGACAACGTGTTCACCTTCGTGAATGTAATTTCGTCACATGTCAAACATGGAACAAATAGAGACGGGTCAACCCCGCTCAAGAACACGAGTAACTTCAATCCTCCTAAAAATGTAGGATGCCGTTTGAGACAATCCAATTCCTTGAAATCGTGTACGTAACCAAAAACAAATTCTTGTCGCCCAGAAAAATTAATGGTTCTGACCAAGTCTTTGCACTTCTCCCTCCACGTAGGGGATGTTACCATATTGACGAAAATAGCCTTAGATCTCGCAGATTTCTCCGTGTCCCGATATCCAATCGACCTAAGCATGCTTAGCAATGGGACGAAATCCATTGTTGTCAGGGTGGACTGGTTCAGGACGTAATGTATCATCGGGCTGTGAGAATTACCAACTTGGACGTCGTAAAAATAGGGGAAGTCTCTCTCCTTGTTGAGTACCTTCTCCCCATCACGTGTGAACATAAAGGTAAGATCTGCATCGGCAAATATGCCGTGCCATTTTGTACAATCACAAAAGGACGAGAATATAATCAGCAGGAAGCAAATCCATAGTGGTCTGGACATTGTATTGTTTCAAAAAAGTGAAATTTTTACCAGAGTAGAATGCTGAGTTTAAACTGGTAGCTCCCAAATCTACCAGTAGTGAATATTTACAATTACACTCAACAGGAAAATCGATTACCATTTCCTGCAAGTTGTGTTTCATTAAAATTTTCCATTTAGCGTTTCCTGTCTTATATACATAATTACAATTCAGAATTCAAATAACACCAACCGAAAGACTTCGTGCTTATAATTGGTTTTGTTGAAATATTTCCTTAATTATTATATCTAATTTATAGCAATAATTTCCTTCGAAAACATTGTTCCTGGACTAGGAGCCATTTTTCAAAATTTCCAGTAATAAGAACTCATAGTCTTAACTAATCGGTTTGTCTATCCAACAGCGTATGCCGGGTTGGCTTAGGTTGTGCCAGTTTTTTTTTGCGCGAGCGTTTGAAAATTTGGTATTTGAGTATTGAATTAATAATTTATTCATTCATCATAAAATGAATGAATGTGAACATGTACCCCCCTGATATCTAGTTTCCATTTCCACCTTTCTAAATAATTTCATTCCTACTTGACCAATTTTTTTAGGCAGACTAATTTAATCCTGGCTATTTTTCCAAAGTGTGTATTTTCGAACAGTGACTAACGAGTCGATAAAACGCGATAAATTTCTTCCCACAGAGGTAACATTCGTTTCCCTTATCTCCGCCGTGCATACGAGTCACGTGTCTCGTGAAGCTCGTCTTGAACCA